TTATTGTGCATTGGTGGTTGGGTAAATCGAGGTACATGCAAATCGCTTTAGCAAGATGCAGGGGAACTTCAGTGTGAGCGTCACGAGTTTACAAAACCTCCTTTTTTGCATCTAAATGACCATTTTTTGATGTTTTAGTAACCGATCTTCACAAAGGCTGATTCATAACAACTGACCACTTTGGCCAACAATAATTGCACATAAGCCTTGTCAATTTCGTTGCTGTCTCCTCCTCCACTAAATTTCAAAATTGAGTATCGCTATACCGAAATTTAATTAGTCAGTGTTCAGAAATCACAACTGATTAATTCATCATCAGGCGAAGATCGTGAGCCGTCAACGTGTGAGCCAAGGTTCCAAAAATTTTGTACTAGATATCTACTGTTTACTGTGGTTGAGGCATCTCCATCTAAGAGAGACTGCAGTTACGGTTCCCTGCAAATCTCGCCTCGTCATTTGCCACTGGACTTTTCCGTGGAATATTCAACGATTTTCTCCCAGAGATAGATGCCTTTTCAGAACAGACTGCAGGCTAGTGTTTGTGAATCAGCCGACCAATTTGGTGCTTTTTCCAGGGTCATTAACTCTCGAGATAAACTAGCCCTAACATTTCACTGAGTCTAATTACAGTGGAGTCTTCCGTTAAAATCACAACAAAGGAAGATGTCGTTCCCAATTCTTCACAGTTCATCAATTCAGCATAAACTCCTATTAGCATATTTTGCAAAGTATGCCAAATTAGGCGCAACAAGTAAGATAGTAATGTTACACCAGAAGCTACGTCATGATGAATGAACGTCACCACAGTAAAACTAAAGTTTGTACGGGAAGCAGGTCACAGTCTTGTTAATAGAATTATCGAGTATACAAGAGCCGACTAGTTCCTGAAATGCATCCGCGAATGAACCCTGGGTTTGAATGCCTGTCCCACGCATCAAATAAAATGAAATGGAAAATAAAACGTGTTAATGGTTTTTTTTTTCATTTCGAGCAAGTCTGTCAGAAATAAGTAAAAGCGGAATAAAGCTTTTGCTGCATAATCAGCTTTATCGACGCATCGAAACAGTTTGCACGCTTTATTTCCAAGTAACAGTAAGTTTGCAGCTTGCTGGATTTAAGATGTAACCCGCCTTTGAAGATTTAATATCGACAGTGTAAAATTGTACCAAATGGGTGTTTTTTATGCATTTTGATCTGAAAGCTTTCTAGGGCATGAGGCAGGAGAAATAAGGTCTTGGAAACAAAGGCTTATGTAAAAAGGAAAATGAAAGCAAGTTTTTCCTCCTAATGCACTCTAATCTGACTGCACGTTCTGACATTGTACCATTAACCATGGCTTTTTTAACTGACTGTATCTTCTGTTTGGCAGCGTTATTTGAACATACTGGCTTGACGAAGCGTTTAGTTTAAAAGCAAACGCACTACTAGGAACTTAAAATGCACTAATGACTGATTTACCAATCGGTAAATTCCCCACTGTGTGAGATTCTGATTGGCCGCCTAAAGCTGACTTCATTTACTGTGTACGAAAATTAAACCTCGCTCCTAACTGTTCATGAAATGTACCTCATGTCTGCAACTTCGACATCATGATTTGCGTTACCCATACTACTTTGAAATCCCGGGTCCTATTATAAAGCTTTGACCGATGGATTGTGAAACCACTGTACTCGACAGTGTCGATGCGATTAGAGCATACATTGACCAGTGTTTCACGAACAATTCCATTAAAGAGAACTACCGACAAGTTCTTGAAGAACATTTAGAAAAGGCCAGTTCAAATTCTGCATGGTTGAATTCTACGCTCGTTGGACTAACGTTCGTCTATGTCGTCATGATCTGCATTGGTTTCACAGGAAACATTCTGGTCATAATAGTTGTAATTTGCAACAAGGTGATGCGGGCCAGTCCACGGAATTTGTTCATTTTTAATTTAGCTTTTTCGGACCTTATTCTCTGTATAATAACTCAACCCCTGAATCTCTATCGGATACTTTCATTTCGACATGGCTGGCAACTCGGCCTTCCAATGTGTAAGCTAACGTCGATGGTCCAGGGAACAAACGTCTACGTATCTTCAATGAGCATTACCGCAATAGCATTGGACAGATTTCGCGTAAGTGAGATGCCCTGATTTATTGAAGATCACAGTCATTCTACAATCCCTGCGGCATGGTTTTTAGCTTGACCTCATCCTGCTGCATTAGGTAATTTTAAACGTTTATCTTTTTATCTAAGCAAGAATTAGGAAGCGAACTTAAAACCTTACTCGAAGCATAAATTACAACAGGGGTGCTTGTTGGAATTTCGGCACCGTATCGCTATAAAATGTTTTTGAAGGAATAGGCAGTTATGCGATTACTGACAATAAACTTGGAAAAAGTACAAATTTGGTAAGGCATTAGTTTATCATGTGCACTTTATCAGGAGAGTTGACAGGACCATTGTAATGGATGCTTTAAACACATTTAGGGCATTGTTTGCTTGGTTTAGATTTTAAATTTTGGGATAAATAGAGACTGTGGCTGAATGTATGAAAAGATTATTACGTCGTAGTGCAGGAATATGGCAAAGCCGGGCTAATTTGACTAGAATAAATGTACTTTTGTTCATATTTTTACTTAATATACTGTCTTTTTCTTGGACCATATCGTTAGTGCTTATCTGCGTGTATACTGTTTCAATTGTTCTTTACTAGACGCTAATACGCTTTATTCGTGATAAAACTTATTTTGATTCAATAATAGTGGTATCGAATGCGTCACCCATGAGCGCACTTTTTTGATTCCTTGATAACTAACCATGCAATTTTTTTACCACCGATCCCAGTAGAATTTAGAGAAGATGGCTAATATTAAGACTTCTTTGCGTGAGTTTTTAACTCGTTCAACGTTTTGACGGCTTAAATCAAAGTGATGACAACATGTCACCTATGACTCACGAAGCACTTATACCTATTAGGTTTTCACTGAATTATTATTTTCAGTAGAGCAAATTGCCCTTCCTGTGACATGAAGGTTTTCCCAACAATGCATTTCTAAGTAGTCTCATGGGAGGCCTTTCAGAATCATAAAATATGGTGAATCGCATTAGGCGTTATAACTACGTTTTAAGAACTGAATTACTCAAATATGGGGCTGCCATATTTTCGCATAATCCGCTTTGTCTCAGAGACCCATAAAGGTTTCCACACTAAAACCTCGAATACTCAAATCTTTTGTTGAAACTTTATTGTACTTTTATACACAGTACTTAGTGGCCCTTCAAAATCCCAAAGAACTTCAAGTGTTTTGCAAACAACCAGGATTAAAGCAAACGGAAGCCAAAATGCTTTCTCGCCAAACCGTTACCTAACTAATGGATTAGTCTATGAGTGAGCACATGTGTGATCTGAATTTTAAAACCGTATACACAATACGAACGTGCGCTGATGACAAAATTTCGAAGCTTAATCGCATTAGCTATTTGCAAGGAAACTTGCATCTTGATAAAAACACCAATGCTAATAGTGTTAGACGCTGACACTTAACAGCTTTTGTTTATACAACCACCAAACCATATTTTTCAATAAGTTTAATGAGGAAATCTCAGCAAGAGACCATAGGTATTGCTATTTATTACGATTAGGTTAATATCTGACTTCTTCATCTAATCTGGACAGATCTAAAATGCATCTAATAATCACTAAGAAATCTTCTGCTTACATGAATCAAATTCCGAAGTTTTAAGCGAGGGAAACTACGTAACAATTACAACATGTAATCGACGCCACAAAGTAATTGCACGTCAACTAACACAAAGCACGTTTATTTCATCTTAAATCCAATGATATTTTGTGTCTAGAAGTCGGCTTTTTCTATTTATCAAATCTGAATCGGTCTAACATGGACTAAAACCACTTCGGCGTTTGCTGTTGCAAACGTTTCGTACGTTTATAAGACAATCTGGAATAAGTTATTTAAAGGAAAGTTATGTAAAATTAAATGCAGTTGTAAATTATTTCAGCTCTTTCACATGCTTTTGTATCAATAGAATATTACAAGGCTTTGTATGCAGAATAGACGACAATGTCAAGTAACAAAATAATACTGATATTTTCGCTCGTTTATTTGATTTCAGTTGGTTTTAAATATACGCAACAATTACACTAAAATGTTCTTTAAATCAGTTAGTAACTGAGTGGACCTAACTTAATTAGCAGTCACGAAACGGGAAATCTTAATAGTCCCAAGAATATATTTTGAAGTTTAAATTAAAGCCCTTTAAAATGTGTGTGGTTCTGAGAAAATTATAATAGCATTTTTTAGGTATCGCCAGCTTCTTTCCGAAATGCAATCATTTTTAAATTTGTACTGAAGTGTGCAAATTGCTTTCATTTTTTGTCGGTTTTTAAGAAGCATTTTTTTGGGTTTGTAACGTCAATAACAATTTTATAATTAAATATGCGACGTTGGTTTTTCGTTTATTCGGACTCCAGTGTTGCTACAAAACCTCACCAATATCGATATCAGCGATTGCTCTTATTAGACTTGGGTCAATGAGGCTTTTTGGACCTGACATGAGAGTCGTAATTGAAATAATTATAAAAATTTCATGAACATTGTTAACCAAATATGGTAACGCAAACTCCTGTTAATAGTAGCAGATGCTGTGAACTCTATAAATGATAAACAATCTCTAAAAAGTACAAAATGAACCAAGGTCTCGTATCACTGCGTTATAAGTTAGGTCACCAATGTTAGCCATCATGAAAGTCTTAAAACACTTGACCGGAGTTCTTTGCGTCTTCACGAAGTATAGTCCAATTATTTGACCTTAGGAATATTTTGGTTTTTCTCAGTTTGATACTTTGAATATATCCAGGAGTGACCAGTCAAGGAACTTCCCTGCAGAGTGCAAAATTTTCAAGGGAAACTATGATTCAGTAGCAACTTATTTTGACACGTTACCCCAAAGGTTAAGCATTTAAAGCCCTTTAATTACCTTACTTTTAGTTAATTATGAAGCCCTCGCGCCAAGACATCAATGTAAGGACAGTCTACATCATCATTTGTGTTCTATGGCTACTGGCATTTATATTGTCCACGCCTGTGGGAGTGTTCGCAACCCTCCCCACAGCTGACGGTCGCCCAGTGTGTTCCGAAGTCACACTGAATTATAGTATGCGCATTACAAAACTTGTCTACTCTATCTTGGGCATGGTTCTTCTTTATGGTACACCCGTTACTCTTGTGAGCATTGCATACGCTCACATATGTATTCTTGTTCACAAAAGAATAAATAAAAGACCGTACCAATCCCAGGCGGACGCACTGAGCAGTAAAGTAACTCAACCACGGAGGGAGAACACAGAATTTTCGGCTATGCAAGAGAGTTCGCCGAATAGACCAACGGCAACTGGGATAGTTTCAGACGTTGGCCCACTCTGCAACTACTTCCTGCAAAGAAAGCTGACCGATGATCCAGCAAATGTTAGATTTGGTGGCAACAAGCCTGGCAGCTCTCATAGACGGCCAAGCAGACATCGCCGAACAAGCTTCCTACTGGCTAGTGTAGCCGTCTTTTTTGCCATAAGCTGGCTCCCTCTCAATATCGTAAACCTGTTTCTGGACCTACGGGAATTGAATTTCCAAGTGGTGTCAGTTAACCAAATCACCGACTGGAAGAAAAATGCGACGTCATTGTCGGCAGCAGCGTTAGCAAAGGCAAACGCTGTTCTGTTATCCCAGTCACTCGTCCAGCGTGCTCGATCAGATGATTACTTGAGTCTTTCTGGGGATACCATTTTAATAATTCAAGCAGTGTGTCTTCTACTGGTCCTGATATCGGCGTGCATAAATCCAATGCTTTACGGTTGGTTAAATGAGAACTTTCGAAGACGGTTCAAGCAACTACTGAGATGCCCTAACAAAAAGACCATAATAATGCAAAAAGAATCCCAACTAAGTAAGGCCTGGCCAATCAATAAGAAGCGCAGTCCGTACGCGCTTTGGCCAAGTAAGTCCAAATTTAATTTTTTTGATGTTTCCAAAATTTAAAGTAGGATCCTGGCTCCAGATTTAAACAAAAGCATGGTAACGTATTTATGTAAATTGGTAAGAATGAAACGAGGGATTTTTTAATGAAATATGAGCAGTATTTATACTGTGGGAAAAACATGTTAGTAAATCAGTAAAACTTACTCAAAGGTGCAATAAAGTTGATGATGCTTTTGATTTATATTCAGAAACTTGTTTCCTGAATTTAAAATGTGAAACCTTGGTTTATCATAAATTTTCTGGTGTTATTCAGATTATTATAAGTGAGTTTACATCAATGCACTTTAACTAAGTAAATCATACCAAAGCTTAAGGGCTTTTATTTGTGCATTTTTTTTCACTCTTCTGGCTCTACAACAAGTTAAATTGAAAAGCAAGCGAAAAATTGTGCCTTTTAGTACCCACACAATGACACCTTGCTTCATGTTGTCCTATTCAGTCCCAATTCTGACATCCAAATCCCAATTGTAAATCTTGAAAACAAGAAAATCCCCAAGGTCTGTCTGCAACCTGCTTAATTTAGACTTGTCCAACTTTGCACACTAACGTTCTAGAGGGAAATGCGTAATTCAACTCAACATTTTCAGTCACATCTATTGCAGTGTTGAAGCAGATATATTTTTTGTTCGGTGGAACAATGATCAATTTCAAACGACACCGCAAATGTGTAGCAGCTTTCGACTTGAGTTGTAGTGTACACGATGTTGTTGTGTTGTCAAATTCTTTTAAATAAACAGAAGACATGCATTTAGGTGGTTAATTAAAAAATGACAGTCGTAAAAATCATGGCCAAAACCGCGGAGCTTAACCATAAACAAAGTAACAGGGTCAAATGCGATGTCAACTTTTTCTGCTCACAGCCGGAGAGCCCTGCTCAATGGTCTAATCGATGGATGAGATCTATCAACTACTTCCAGTTGTATTGTGTTAAAACTGTCAATCCAAACAAATTAGAATCACCTTACATCACGAGAAGGAATCAAATATTTCTTAGTTAAATTATAATGGGCTTTGATACACCACCGAGTCACGAACTGAGCACTTGACTAGTCTTTTTCCTCAACTTTTACTGCTCCTGTCTCCATTTAAAGGAACTTTCAGTCATAAGCCCCAACGCCGGAACATATCAGGCCAATTTTCTCTTTCAACGTATCATCCCACAAGTCAGAAGACAAGCTCACAACTGGATGTTCTACAAAGAAGCCGTTCCCTTGATGTTGCCGTCTGCAGGTCCTCGTCGGCCTTTAAAGATGGAGCACCGGCTTCTTCTGCAGAGAGCCAACTATCGCGTGGTGTTCTCCTTGAGACTGACATTGATGCCAATTGACCAGAATGTTTGGTTTGAAATTTTGTATTTTACTCTTGTAGTAAACTCAGCAACATTAAACACACTTCATTTTTTTGAGAGAAGTAAAAAATAGAATACTTATTGGGGAAAAGGAAATCTCATACTTATTGGGGACATGAGGAAATCTCATACTGTGCACATGTTAATTCAAATAAACACTGAATACAAAATATGCATAAATTCCTTCCTAAGACTTTCGGTGTCGAATTTATAGCAGAAAATTTCTCCTTAAGAACGTAGTAGCTTTAATAACCCGCGTTATACCACGAACAATATCATTGTGTGCGTGGCGTTTAACCAGATCTCTTGGCCTGCATTGTTCTAAAGTTCTAAATTTATCGGTCTCGCACGAGGTCTTTCGTTGTCAGGGGGGCCGCATCCACGTGAAGCTGTAAATTTAACGTCCATTTGAACGGGAGACTTCAAAGCACCACCCATTGGTTGTTCGTACCTTAAAAATAAATTCTGAAGGACTCACCTCACAACCCATCATAATGTTACCAATGGCTTAAACGTGCGCTAGATTTTTTTTCTTAATCAATTCAATATCCAGGGTGCTTTTATATCTTAAAGGTACTTGATTTATACCGTAGGTCGAAATTCTCCCACACAGTCATATTCTGTTGCCTCTCATCTGGAGTAAGCCGCAAATGACTAACATGCACAGCCTCTGCTAATCAGCAAATCCATGCTGAGCCACCTTGTCTGGCTTTGTCCTCATTTTCATTAAGGATTCGTCACGTTTTAAGCACGGCCGGTAACCATCACTTTTCTGGATGTCATTACAAGCTATGAAAGCTAATCACTTTGGTGCCTCTTGCATTTAGTCAGTGACTTGGTAATGGATTTTGAGGGACAGCCTCTTTACAGTCATTGGGCATTAAGCCGACTCAAAGGCAAAGGACCCTGTTCACCCAGTCAACATCACTGGATCAAGTTTTCGACTAAGTACGAAGGTGCTTCATTAATGTGTTTCTCTCAAAATGAGTGAAGTTTTGAAGCAAGACTATTCAAACTTGCCTTAAAAACATTGGGGCTGATTTTTTTGACTATTTAAAAGAAAACTAGATTACAACAATAAAACATTTATCCAACTGAACTCTTTATCTATAATTCAGTCCCAAGCATGCGCTTAGTTGTTATCATAAATTAAATACCACTAAATTTCTAATCATGAAGCCTCCATTCTCTTGATGGGTTCGATTCAAACTCGCTATTAAATTTTGCTTTTTATTGCTCCTTTCCTACCTTACCTTGCCGGCCTTTGCCTTTGGAACACACACAGTTTAACTAAATATGCATCTAAAGCATTTATGCCTCAAATATTACAACGCGCTTGTTACCACTTATCCAATCTACATCATGGGACTTGAGAGTAAGGTAAATTTTTTTATTCCTTTTCTATCTTCACACGATTCCGGAAAATAATTTTCATTACGAAGACAGTCTATTTGGTCGTTTTATTTCCTAATAAGTTAGGATTTTCTCATTGTTAAATGACTAGCGCATAGCCTGTTTAAAATAACACTTTTCACTGGTTTTTAGGCCACAAATACGAAGGTTCATCATTTTACAAGTTTGCGTTTTGTTCTACCAAACAAGAAAACACCACTTAACGTGTTCTGAGGTCCTCAAATTAATCACAATATTTACGATGCAAAATATCCAAGCAGTTTTACGTTTTAATCTCAATCATCATATCGGAAGTTTTGACATTTGCAACAATTTCCATGGAGAAAAATCGACTTTCACCTCAAAGCCATACTTCACAGTTCCCCAAATTTCTAGTTACTAGTCCAACACTTTTTTTATTGTAATAATGAATATAAATGCGTAAAAATAACCGTAGACGAATTTCTAGTGCGACTTACGATTGATATCTACACAGAGACACTCTGTCCACAATCTGTGATTCAAGTTGATGCTGCCTTTCTGATTTAAAGCATTATTCTGTCAGCAGTGTCGTATGGTTTATTTCATGTGTATTTACTCAGTCAGACGGAAATTTGCAATATTCCATCCACCAAATGAAAAGTTATTAAGTCGGAAGTAATGCTGGCATCAGTATCCTGGGCAAAAAAGCGGAAGCTTGCACCACATGTGTTGAATGTGCAACATAGGGGGAAATCATTATTTTCAAAATGATGCCGATGATGACGTCTCAGGCAACGATTAAGTCCATTTCCGTTTTCTGAAGCACAATTACGAAAATCGGTGTTATGATTGTGCCAACAAATGCAAAAGTGTGAATAAACAAAAACACTGAAGGTCAAGGCCTTGTAAAAAGTAACACTTTGAAATTCGTGACAAAATGCTCTTGGTGCTGAACTGCAGCAGTTTAAATATAACCTTTTGGTGAAGTTTCAGTGAACATCTACGTTCGTATCAGTCAGGTTAATAAATTCCTGGGTTGTCTCAAAATATTTTCCCTGTGATTTATTATCCCTCGGATCTAGATTTAATCTTGGTGTTTTAATAACCAGCGCTAATCGCGTATGTTTACCTGCACCAGAGATTACATAGCTGGTCGTTTGATCAACACCTGTTATTATGACAAAACTTTTCTTCAGAGGTTGAATTGTCACAAATATCTGCAGGATAATTGGCTGCAATGTCGACCTAGGCTATTATTTCCATTTATTGTTTCGTTTACGTCCATTAGCATTGGAAAATACAAAAATTGTTCTCACAATTATCTTTGTTCTTATCATTTACCATTGAAAGAAGAATATGAGCGTGAATCATTCTCGATGACGATAGTCTTGACATGAGAATAAGTGAATATGTAATTCATGAAGTCATTTCTTGACACGTGAAATTATTTTCTTAAATAAAAAGAATTGATGATAGAAATACATGAGCAACAAAAAAAACAATGTCTGTTAAAATCACCAATTTACCACGGATTAAATTTATTTCGGGATTTGAATGAAATGGGATTAATACCTTTGTGAATTTAATATGTCTTTAGTCGAAAAACCAATGAACACGCTTCTGATTCCGCAAGATCAAATTTGGGGGAAAGGGAATAGACTTTTGGACCTAAATACGTCCAAAGGCAAAATGAACGTTAGTTATTTATGTTACAGCAAAAGCTTTTGACTTTCGTGAACCAATTTTTTTAGCAAAAATTAGTCAGTGACCTTAAACTTAACCCATGTTCAACAGCCACCACGATTAAACTTGGGCTTCAAATTGTCTAAAAGCTGCAGCGTGTGACCCTTCAAAAGATAATCGCAATCGAATTATATCATTTGAAATTAACTAGTTTTATATGCATTAACAAAACCAAACTGGCCAATTTATGGAACCTAATTGCAACATTTTCCAAGGTTTCTTGAAGATGCCATTAGGATTGGTTTTTGAAAGGGTCAAAAGAGACTCAAAGTAACTCTGCTATTGCGTTACTCTGGATTTGACTCACACAAAATTATTTAACCTAGCTTTCCTTGTTTTAAGCAATAAATTTACAACAGACTTATTCTTAGAGTTTGGTGTTGTAAATGTGCTCTCTGTTGCAACCAAACTTTTGGTTTTGTTACCGCTTTATTCAGTAGCAATGCAAAGTTACAGAACTCGCCTCGTTAAAATATACGTAATAAATAGAGATTAAAGAAATGTGATTTCACTTCATGAATATTTAAAACTAAACACGGTGTTAAAGTTGTTTTGACAACCAAACAATTATGGTAATGCATTGAAGTAGGGGATTATATGGAAACACTCGCAGGTGATGGCCCAAGTTTAACTACTTTTGACATCGCGGTGCAAAAACTAGTAGGTAGTTTTGAAGCTGCAATACTAAGGCCACTGACTGACGTAGTCTTCTGACACTATCACATTTATTGCGTAATTGCGGGATAGTCTTGCGTAGAATCAGCTATAAACAGTACTAGTCAATACAAAGAAATGACGTCAGGAGAAGTCGAAGCCTGTTCATGGTGCACTGGGCTGCGTAATTAAAACACAAGTATTTTTTTTCTAAATGAACTGTTAATTCCGGAGTCTGATGGTGGCGTCGTAAAAGCCTTGGGGAAGGGGTCCTCTACCCGCATCTGAGACACCGATTTGTGTTGGCCTAGTTGCCTTGGCCTGAGATCAAGACGACCAGCAGCGAAGATACAGCAGCCATTTAATACGTGGCTCTGTTTTCCTATGTGTTACTGGGTTTTGTGTGTACGTTTTGTCATTAACGCTGTCACTTCATTGAAATACATGGGGAATATGTTGAACCGGGAGAAGAAGCGATGGGGACACTGAAAAAGTGGGTTGAGTGGACATGCGGATCACCGAGTTGATGATTGACGTTGATTGATTAACTGACGTGAATCATCCCGATTCACGAATCATTCACGATTCACGATTTGCTCAAGTGTGGGATCCATTTTGATCAGCATCAAACATTCAGCATCACCGAAGGTGAGAAATTCCTGACCAACTTGTTCTTTTAGTGGCATTATGAATTAGCGATATGCGGGGATTCAAGGAAGAAACTACGTGGGATCGGAAAGCTAAACAGCGAGGCCGTCGATTCAAACTGGATGGATTCATAATACCTTGCACTAGGCCACTTGAAATAACAAAGGATAAGGCTAGCATTTTCCATGATCCAAACTGTACGCATAATCACAAAACTAAACTAGAAAAGACGAGTAAAAAGGGAAGAATTTTCCTTGCCACAAATGCAAAATAATTTGGCCTCAAACGTACTAGATCTTTGAGGGAAAAATCAAACATAAAGAAGGAACTTATCGAGATATTCTCGCATAAATATCTATGCAGCTTAAAATGACAAGAATCAAAGTAAAAAGAGTGCACGCATTTTCTGCAAGGGCCACCAATAAAGTAGAAGTCAGATGCACTACTTCTACCTGGCATTTACATTCCGTGTTTGGTAACTGAAGAATGTTGAGGAAACAAGATTGGCGGTGGAAGCTGTGGCTACATTCATGCACCATCAAAGTCTTCGCCAAACGTTATCTGGCACGGAATTTCAGCTAGTACACAAATTTAAACACATTGCTTAGGCTTAAAAACTGTCCGCCTTAATTAAGAATGACTAATTTACACAAATGTCCATAGAGGTTTACACTTTTATTCTATAAATGAGATTCTTGTTAAAATCACTTTAAGGAAGCAATTTTATACAATCCATTTCCAAAACGTCTTCATGGTCTCTCAATGACTCAACTTTAACCTAGATTTCTGCATATTAACAAGCTTGACAAAAAACTTCGACTTAGGTTATGATCTATTGTCGTATCCTCTTCAAGCGTGCAGGTCACCAGATTTCCCTACGAATTTTGAGTTCCCATTATCTATTTGGAAGTTTCAAGCAGGGCATGATTATCTGAAGTCACGATTGTGCGACGGATTCTCTGGTAAACTAGTCTACATCAAGCTTATGTAATTTGTCATAATATATGCTGGCTTACCTGTTCAATGCTGTTTCACCATGGGATGCTAGCCATGTCAGTCGCGAATTTACAGAGCTATAAAATTGAGAAAGAGCTTAGAACCACTAACCAGGAAACTGTGGGTTTAAACAGCCGGTTGAACTCCGAGGATTTATGTTCCGGTATAACCGTTGTTCCTGCTTCCCGTAAAGCCCTTACTTTTTCCTCTCTATAGCCTACGATATACTGGTTGGTATCATTGTGAAAAATGAATCGGTATTCTCCTCCAAATTTTTCTGCATTTTGTGTTAAATGCAGCTGCGTTCTAGCTGTTGTTGGTGAGGATTTGCTGCAGTAGCGTTGAGTAAGAATATTTTTGTGACATTTTTTATTCCTTGAAACACCGGAGTCGAATAGACGTAAACCACAAGCATATTCTCGTAAGTTTACGTACGACCAATCACAGAAATCTGTATTTGTGTGAGTTACCGTAGCCTGAAATTTCTTTTTTGTTGCTAACAGTCTCTTTGACGACAAGATGGCATTTGCGTTCACAACTTCACAGCCGTTTTCGGAGGAACTCTTTACAGAGGTGTTGGCTTTATTCATCGAGTTACATGGTAGAGCTGGTAGTAAAATTGATAAGTTGGCTGAATTCCCAGTTTTCAATTTGCAACCGGCGACATTCTTATGGTTGGAAAAGGGCATATGATATTATCGATTGAAGATTTAAACCTAAACGCGTTCAGGGCACGAAGGAACAGCAACTGAAGAGTAATAGTATAGATTTGAAGAAGTACTGAAAAGGACCAAGTGTGACAGTGTGCATGCAACTTTACAGCACTCGTGAAAAGTTTAAACCACTAAAACAACCTCTAGAAGCACAGATGTGTGCATAAAATATTCCTTTAATAACTACTGAGTTCTTACGCGTTCACTTAATTACACAACAGACGAAGTAAAGGTTCATCGCGAATAACAGCATACGAATTTTAGGCTCAAGTCAATCAAGTTTGAAGTTTTTAACCTTTATAAATGGTACCCAAGTCTATAAGAAACTTCACTTGATTTACTTTTTATATGTTTGTACAATAAGCAGTAAGCAATGGAATAAATGGCTAATAACCCGACTTGTTGTCATGTGGTTTTACTGCTTTCAACCGAGAATCGAAAAGCTGGCTAATATATTCCGAGCCCAACTAACTAAAGCCGGAACGGCTGTCCAATAGACCACCGAGACTGTAAGATTCAGAAGGCTCAAATCTCAAATTATAGTTATTCAATGGCAGTAGCACTAATAGAATCGCAAATATTGCTAGGAGCACGGCTGTAAACATTATGTAAACAGCGACTTTATAAATGCCTGAAATCTCAAGAAGCACATTAAAATTTTGGGGTTGTTTGACTTTACAAATTATTGGCAGGCCCGTTTTAATATCATTGCCGACAAGAATGAAAACTTGAAAAACTTTTGCGTGATAAAAGAGTAGGCTACCGCTGGAACCAACCTAATTTGTATGCATTATGACACCAGTGTAGGATAGAGAACAAGATCCTTCAACATTTCAGAATGTCAATATATCAATAGGAAACATTTGTTACCGTCGTTATTGTCTAGATTACATCCGTAAATCCAAAATAATTAGCGCATGAGACTTAAATGAGTGGTTAATGCGATAATCCATTTCCATACAAAGTACATATTTACAGAGCAGATTGTAATGAAGTAATGGCCGAAATTTCAGCTATTTTCCGTGTCAAATAAGAGTTGCTCCTCAAAATCTCCCGGAAGATTTATTTATACGCGATAAGGTTTTACGATTTTCAGTAAAACTGGATTGAATAATGAAATGCATGCACAGCTTTGGTCAAAGCTACATAAATTGCTTCGCTTGATGTCTTTAGACAATTCTTCGAGATACATTCAAAGATAGCGGCCATTAGAACTCAAATTGATGTTTTGCCATTTGCCGGTATAATAATCGGATACGCCAAAGTGTATGAGAAGTTAATGGAAAATGGGGACTTAAATGTCTAATTAGTGGTTAAATCAAACAAATGTTTGCGTGCTAAAGTTCACATTTGCCTGGTAATTGACAACTTACAGGCATCTATCAACAGGGAACAGATGACGAATAATGCGAGTTCCTCGATTAAGTACACAAATGTTTTAAGTGATTAAAGGTAAACCATATTACCTGAAAAGAGTTATCTGTGAGCGTGGACGGCAGCGTAAATTATGCTAAGTCAAAATAAAAAAATAAACGGCTTTGTTACCTCAAAGGTTGCAAATACCACATTTAGTATCTCAGGGCAGTTTGGATAACAATAAATTGTGTGTGATGGGTCAAGAACTAGTAAAAAAAGCTAGCGTAAAGTCATTTCAAGCTCAAATAAACTACACGAAACAGATTATGAAGTCTTTTAAATTGAAATTTTTACACTAGTCATCTGATAGAATTAACCGGGAGGCCTAAATTAAATTGAGAAAAATTAGAACACTTGAAGTTTAATCCATCTGCAAACCCTAAATCACCAATTATAACAACTAAATATACCCGGAACATTGCTGTGTATCCAATTTAAAAGATAAGGAATTCTACATTAATGAACTTAGATAAATCGCTTGGATTAACTAACATTTCGGTCCCAATGCTTGAACTTCTCTTTACAGTGAACAGTGTGAAGGACCTTAAGGAAAACAAGCATATTTTTATTTACAAAGGTTATTATGGTGTTCAATGGATAAATGATGCCAAGACACGCAAATATAAGTTGTTAATTTGACCATTCTAAAATTCGGACAGTTCAACTGTGGTTGGATAATTCTCTACCCAATTAAAATTGTCCCGGCGTACGGTTACGTGTGTCAGGCATTCACGCAAAACACACTGAGATGGAAGGTCTGTTTTCTGCTGGGAAGAAGCAAAAGGACCGGGCTGTTTACCAGACGGTTGTGGATGGATTACGTAATTTGTATTTTAAGTACGTACTCCCCCTGGAAACAACGTACAAATTTCATGAATTTCATTCAGCACCTTTGGAAAATGCCGACTTTGACTCGACACCAATGGTCCTTCTTGTTGGCCAGTATTCCACCGGAAAAACAACGTTCATTCGCTACCTTTTGGGGGAGGATTTCCCAGGAATGCGCATCGGACCCGAACCAACCACTGACAAATTCATCGCAATAATGCACGGCGAGCAGTCGTCGATAATTCCGGGCAATGCTCTTGTTGTTGATCCAAAAAAGCAGTTTCGTCCATTATCTGCTTTTGGAAATAATTTTCTAAATCGTTTCCAGTGTTCTATGCTTAATAATAAGGTCCTCGAAAGCATATCCCTTGTCGACACCCCTGGAATACTTAGCGGTGAAAAACAACGATTGGGTAGAGGTTATGACCTCACTGGAGTCATCGAATGGTTTGCGCATCATGTTGACAGGATAATTCTACTATTTGACGCCCACAAACTAGATATATCTGACGAATTTCGTGGTGTGATTGAAGCGGTTAAAGTAAGTTTGGCCCCATCAAGTTTCCTGGGTAACATCTTCTTATTGAATGCATGAATTAAAGTTGTTTACTCTAAATCATATGTTGATGCTCTTTTGATTGTAAAAAAATTACCTTTTCCCTGTCAAGCGACTTTCATGTAACAATAAAGGAAGGGAATTTCCTGATTGTTAGTCTTCATCCTATTGTCTTAGGGTAATGAGGATAAAGTCCGCATTGTCTTAAATAAGTCAGACATGGTGGATTTCCAGCAGCTTATGCGTGTCTATGGTGCCTTGATGTGGAATCTGGGCAAAATCTTGGCTACGCCCGAGGTCGCACGTGTTTATATTGGTTCATTTTGGGATCAACAACTACACTACGACACCAATCGTCGCCTTTTCGAACTAGAGCAGGCAGATCTTTTCCAGGACCTCCAAACTCTGCCAAAATACTCTACAATTCGCAAACTTAATGACCTTATTCGGCGTGCTCGCCTAGCTAAAGTACGTGAGATCTCCTATCCTACTTTTTTAACTGGCTAAATATTCCGCATGACCACCACTTGGTAGTTGATGTTGTATCGTTTATTTTATGCTCATGAATTTCAGCACATTTGGCTTTTAGATCTCCAATGACCACATTCTAACAGCACTCATTCATCTAGTGTTCTCATGCATTGCTTTTTTGTCAACAATAGTTAATATCCCGGCGTCGTATTTCTCTCTCCTATTTTCAGTTACCTAATGTTAGAAACAACCTCTTTATTCTCATTGATTGTGCAGGTTCATGCCTATATAATTTCTGAATTACGGCGACAAATGCCAACATTGATTGGTAAGGAAACAAAGAAGAAAGAATTGATTGCAAATCTTCCCTCCATCTATGAAAACATTTCACGAACCCACCATATTTCAATCGGTGACTTCCCCCCAATTGACAAAATGCGGGAACTCCTCGCTGCACAGGACTTCAAATCTTTTAGTCACCTTCAGCCAAAGCTCATTTCAGGAGTTGAGAAAATGCTGTCGGTGGATATCGCGAAGCTAATGCAAATGATTCCTCAAGTATGCTTGATGTTATTTGTTTATTCTGTCTGTGGATGTTCAATGCAGCGGTTCTGACTGCTTTACTAATATTGAACGTCGTTGAACGCATTTTCGCCAGTTTTTTTCTAACAAATACTCTGAAATACCACTGAAAATATGGCTCTATTCTAATTGGTTTCGGCCGCATGCAAACCTACATAGTTGATATTTGGTCGGGTTGTAGCGTCACATAATTGACACGATGACTTCAATCTGGGGGAATCATGTCAGTTATGCTTTGTGTTTAGGCGCTTCGTCATATTATTCAAGTTCAGATTGCACCAAGAATAATGCCAATTTTTTTATTACCGTTACCTGATGCCCAATTAGCTGACGAAAAACGCAGCTTCAACTCCCGTTATTGTTCTGAAAAATCAACCTTAAGTGCTGTTGTCTTCTCCGCCGCTTTAATCTCACGCTGGCTTACACCTGACCGCCATAAAATTCCATATTTTTATCACAGAAACTGATGACCAGGCATGCGTCTACATTTGACTTTGTATTACTTGACGCATTTGATGTTTGTGACGTCGCTTGTAACATATATGGCCAGTTTCTGAAATGTATGACATCCATAATCCATACTTTTAAGCCATAACATAAAAAGGGCTTAAAACGAGGTTTTATTCACGCCTGGAATATTCTAATTTATCGGTTTTTTACATGTCCATGTTAGTTACTTACTGTGTCAGACACAACTTTCCTTTCTCTTTGTGTGCACCTGTCGCTGCTACCTTTTGACTTTGTCTATTTGGCGCACCCTTATATGGCCTTGAGAGGCAGAACATGGTCTGAACTAATTCCGCCAATTGTGGTAGGTGGAGTAAAGCCAACTAGCTCAACTCCGGGTGATTTGTTTGGTAGTGCTTTTCCATGTAATAAGTTTGCTTTTTTTCATACTGAAATGTAGGAAGTTTTCACTTTCCATTTACTCAGACCTTCGGCTCTGACACTGCACTTGTTTAAGTGAAATGCTGGCCACCCAACCCCACTCTCCCCTTTTCGGCACTAATGTGCCTCCACATGCATAACTGATGGACGTGGTATGGTAGTGTTGATATGTTGGTCGGCGTAAATTGCCACCTTGGCATGGTCGTAAATCAGAGTTTTGTGTATAAATTTGGAATCCATGTGGTGTGCTGATGATCTGGTTTAGCTCTATGGTCGTCTGTTTGCTGGAATTCCCATCTGTCCTCACACAGACTCCCGGTAACATCCATTGTCTGTCTTTATTCATTTAATACCAAACGGCACTTCAAATTGAAGCAGTTGTTTTGAGTTTCAAAGGCTGCATTGATTTAACTTTTATATCTGAATTTTTCTAAACCTGCACCCTTAAATCACGTCACTGTGACTTCTGGCGTGGTTTGGCCGATGCCTATATGCGTATACTCCAGTTAAATTTAGAGCAATCACTTTTTTGTCTGTTCCGAAAGGTGTTTGCGCAAATCCTTTTTTCTGCCCTTTTGGCATATTCCGGTGGCGCTTCTAATCAGTCAAAAACTGGCAGGATGTGCCGACGGCGCAGAAAAAAAGATTAACATAAACGCCTTTCGTTAAACTTACGCCTTGGCTGTGATCGCACGTAGTAAAATTCACGATTTGTCAACTCGCGACACGTGTCAAAATTGTTATGCTGTATCTTCATAAGTCCTGACCTTTGAAAGCTGTTATTAAAGCGCCGATTTGGTTTTTATGGTGTTACAATAATTTATGTCACGCCAGACTATGCCAACGCATCTGACTGGCAAATGTAACTCGAAAAAATGCCATTTTCGGTTCTCATTCGGTTTTAATCCGGACAGCTAGGCTTATCTGTTTCAGCTGATTCTTCACGTGTGACTATTACATATGCACAATTCGGTGCTAAAGCGTAAACTTACCCTTGGTGTACTTACCTGTATATTTTCAACCAAATTATCTAAGCGCTGTGGAAATACCAGCAGCCGCTCATCAAGTCTTGTCCCGCATCGTCGCCCTAGTAAACGCTTATTTGTTCCTTAGTAGAAAAATAACGTTCACAATCTTCGAACGAGGTAAAATCCTGCTGGCTCCTGTGAATTCTGCTAGTTTTTTCAATTACGGAATATTGAATGCTTTACTGTGTAGGAAGTGAATCATTAGTTTGGAACCTTTAGCAGATTCTCTTATCAAAGTTCAAAGAATACTCCAGTTTTATCCACTGATTTCAATTAGCTCCTCAGATGTACTTTCTGTAAATGTAGGCATATTGACCATCTACACCAACCAAGTTCTCGTGATTTTTTTAGTTAGGAACCGTTTATAATCAAGTGCCTAGGTTTCTGTGAAGGGTGTTGAAAAACAAGTTCACCACTGTTTTTGCTAGTTCAATGATTACTTACCACTTTTTCGCTCATTGCTCAACTGTTTGTAGTAATTTCCCAATTTTGTGGCTGCAAAAATCTGGTTACGTTACTCCTATTCGTGGAAGCAATGTTACTTCAGTGTCACCGCCAGATTCTCAATTTGGAAGACGGTGATGGCACTGATTCCTATCTTCTGTCCTCATTACAACTGATAGTGTCTTTCTGCAATAACATGATCGTTTCATCCTTGTTAGGTTCCGTATTAAGCAAGTTCATCCGTTGTTTTAGGAGCAGAAGGCAGATTCCGAGGCTTTCCGTCCACGCGTAGAGGGTGGAGCCTTCGACAACTTCGACACGCCGTTCGGTATCGGCGCCTCAGAGGGCATCAATCGGGGCAAGTATGAAAGCACCTGGGTAGTCGAGACCGACGTTCCCGAGGCCTATGAGGTAAGCAAACCTGGCAGTACCTTGCTTTGTCTCAGCAGATTTTTAATTACGACAATTGCGTCACCTATCAAAACCGCCACGGCTGTTCCACCTAGTTTTTTGTCTAATTTTGCATCCAATATTGTATTTCTAACATGCTTCAATCGGGGCAGATTTTTAAAAGTTCAGTCATGCGTATCGGTTTACGTATCATTCAAAGGCTTTGGCAACTTTGTTTGGACGTGCTTATCGGTGTTGGTCAATATCTGATGTTTGAACTTTTCGCCATAATCTTTCGTGTCACCTACCAGGTTTCTTCCTCGGCCGACTTCTTTACCCTCGCTTATATTGTATATTTCCGCGTCTATTGCTACTTAAATTACCTTGTCTCCCTTCCCTTAAGCCTTCATGAGTATCGTTCACGGTTGTAGTTCTCAGCTAGCTGTGTATTCTCTTCCCAAAGGAACTGGAGTTTTGTGAATCCGTTAGGTGTCATTCACATTTCTCCCTCCCTTTTCTTTACTCTCTTACTATTAGTCACTCCTTAATTGGGTCCATTTTGCTGCAGCGTTTTTAACGTAACCAGTCATTAGCACAATGTTAATTACACCATTTTTTCAGGGCTAGCTGCTCAAAGTCGCACATTCAGGCTTGATTTGGCCGTCTGTTCTAGGTAATAAAACATCAATCGTAAGCTCATTCACACAATGGTAAAGCAGATTCTGGGAAGCCTCGTCATCCAGTCCGCAACCAGTGGCTACGCAATGCTATTCCTTCATAGTCTAGAACTCTGCCTGTACTTTAGTCAGCCACCTGTTCTCCATTTGTTTGACCTTCCGTGAATAGCGTGTGGCGTTTGCTTGCAGGGTCATTCGTATAGACCGAAGGCAGTAGCTTACTTGTTTGAGCCGCTTGGGCTCTCTTAAACCGATCACCCAGTTTTATTTGCCAAAATATCACACTCTAGGTTCTGGTTTGAAAAAAAGAAATGCATTCCTGTAATGTTGGGAAATTTCGCTAGAGCCAGCTATCATTATGAAATTACACGAGCTAGCTCCGCCTAAAAAACCACCCAACAGATCTCTCCATTCACAAATAACTCGTATTCTAATGCCTCAAGGCTTGAAGCGGATATTTGCCCTTTGATCTATCATGACACTGGACAGCGTTAAGCCTTTTACGTGGGTGGCTTACCTTGTCTTCTATGCTTCACAGATATTCCGCAAACTTGATACAGTAGACGGTAAGATTAGTGGCCAGACCGCCCGCATTGAGATGCTCAAGTCCCAACTCCCAGAGGCCACGCTACGTCGCATCTGGGCTCTTTCGGATATTGACAAAGACGGATGTCTCACAGCGGACGAGTTTGCCCTAGCCAAGTACTTGATCAAGCTGAAACTGGACGGCCATGACTTGCCTACTACCTTACCTGACCACCTCTACCCCCCTTCAATGTACTCATATCGACCAGTGCGAGACAGTGAAACTAAGATTGGGGACTCCGTGTCAAATCAGACCATTCCACTGCCGTCGACCAATGGCGAAGTTTGATGTGGCTGCATGCGTGATCATCTGACCTTTGCTTTTCACCGTCCTCTGTCGGTTTTGGGGCTCGTTACTATATCTTGATCAAATCCTATTTCTATGTTGCTTTTTCCATGTACTCTCATGTACCCTCAATTTCTGTCTAACATTAAGTAGAGCTGCTTCCATATTTCAGTAATTTAAATGTGGTGATTGATATTTGTTTTTGTAGCTGCAACTGAGGCTTGCAAGTAGTCAAAACCTAGCGTAAGTTTTTTCATGAAATTATATACTAGGTAGCCTTATTCTGCCTCTCTATTATTGTCGTGGTGTATTCTGAGATACTCACAAGTATGCTAAAACAGCACAACAAATATTTCATTCTTGGACACTTCCTCTTCCTAATTCTGAGATCCTGATTCACTGGCGTTACATCCCTCTGTACGAACGCACGATAATTTAACAATTGTTTACACTTGCAAGGACCACTTTTTAGGACATCAACTATGCTAATTACTACTCTATCTTTTTCTTTTTGGAAACCAAAATAAATATATGCCTACGTCCGAATTTCATAATAGGTGTGAGTGTCAATGAGCCATATCGTCAATTAATTAATTAAACCACAAGCTCGAATTATTTTGATCCTACATGGTTCTTGGTTACACAAACACTAATGGTTGTATGAGAACAAGAGAATTTTCAGGCACTTTTGTTGTTTGTTTATTCAATTTCACGCAGTCTTCAACTTATGCCATTGTTTTACGACATGACAAACCTTAACGTCAGCCTTTCTGAAGGAGCACGAAATGACCAGATTTGTCCAGCCTTGTCGATTTTTTTTGCTCTCAGCAATAAATAGTTTGACAGTTTCGGGTTTTCCCGCATTGCGGAAAATCGGTAGGCCGCCCTCGTTCATAATTCACTTGAAGTCAAGCTTACTAGCCGAAATCACACACACGTTTCTACTTATGTTTATTCAATAAGGCGACCTCAATTAGCACATGGATCGTATTATTGCAAGCCAAAAATTCTGGTAAATAGGTTATCGGTAGGTTTCTCTCAGTATTTGGTTCAAGCAGCTAATGCTGTATTGGTAGTTAATATCAGCTTATTAAAACACACATAATTTCGAAAACGACGACCACAAAGAAATCGAGTTGATCAAAATCGGTTGAAAGACAAGGTGATTCGAAATCCGACGTCAAGTACGAACAGATGAGAGTTCCATCAGCAAAAAGAAGAAAAACATTTGATCATAAATTTGTCCACCTTGGAAGCCAAGTAAATCCATGGTGTCCAACTCCACACCTTGTTTTCAAACAGTCGGACGCAATTCGGGCAATTCGTGTAGCCCAAGGCTTGCTGATTCGGACGCTTTGTTTGTACATCCCGCGACCTTTGTTCATTGGTTGGTTGCTCTTTGATCATGTAGGCTAAATTACGCCGTAAAACACCTGATTTCAGAGGCTTAATACTGCATGAAAAACAGCACCTTTATGTATGCGAAAAATTCATCCCTTTTAAATGGCTACTAGATGCAAATAAGTTGGCGTCATGTAGCGAAATTTGTCAAATCAGATCTGGCACGTGCCCCGGGTTATCGGTTGGCCGCTGCACTTCACATCTGCGTAAGTATTCGACCGCAGCGGCCATTATCTCCACCGGTGCACTCCTGCAACTCATAGGCGTGCCCCATCTTATGCACTCATGTGTTAGTTTGTCTCCGACGCCGATGCGCATTGTTTTCTGGGTAATTCGTGTTTTATCGTCGTGCAGCACTTCTTGCTTGTGAAACTTGCTTTTCACTCAAAAACGTAGCACAGTAGTGGGCGGAAAGCGTTCTACGCGCAACTGCGCACGCAACGCCCCTCAGTGTCGGCACTCACTTATACAAGATATTACAAAAAACCTGTTCAAACGATGCCTGAGTATTTCGGACGGTTCTTGATTTCAGCTATATTACATAAATTGAGAATAGTACTGCCGGCCAAACAATTCTAATGCGGTACTGCTTCAAAGAATTTGCACGTGAATTTGAGTTGCCCTTTCCAACAGTTTTATTAATTAACAATCTGCTGTGATTTCTAAGTAAATCATGGATTAATAACCACAACAATGGTTCTTATTGATGAGCCATATTCTGCGAAAAGCTCAGTAAAATTGGAGGACTAGTGTGTGCTAATTGATTTTACAATGAAATCAAGAATGATGAATTACAGATCAGTACAAGGTCGGCTAAGCTTCGTAAGATAAAATTAAAAGGAACGGTGAAATACTATGTATAACAAAATTTGGAGCCAGTAACGAGGGGAAATATGTCAATGACTTTCTCCAAATAATTGCAAGGGCAAAGACAAATTACACAACTAAATTGAATGAATGAATGTCGGGCTATGGAAAAGACTTCAAGTTATTTCTAAACTGACGTTATTCTTGACAAAATCAAGTAATTTTGGGTCGCAAGCAAGTGGTTTCGATAAATTATTTCACAAAGTGACTGGTGGGCAGACTCGAAAACGCTCTTGGAGGTACCTCGAGGCGCAGCACTCCAGTCCACGATTGCGCCTCAGTGCAAAGTGGGCGTACTTGTGATAATGTGGCAAAGTAAACCGGCAACCCCGTAGACGGAGTTGGGAAGAAAATATCTCAACAGACATGCATTAGCCCAACACCGGGCACATTATTTACGCCAAGCACATGAAACTAGTAGTGTGCGTTGCTGTGGCATGACAATGCAGCCACTTTGTCCGGCTTGAAACCGAAAAAGCACACAGCTCCTGACAGAATGAACACTGACAGGACAAACAATGAGTGTGTGTGTGTGTGTGGCTGGTGTGGGAAACGACAGTGCAGGAAGGAGGTCCTAGGCTACCCATATCTAAGACAAAGCATCCGTCAATTCACGAGGTGTTACTAGCATCACACCTAACGTGCGGCTTAACTCGGTGGTTTAGACACTCAGCAAAACGCTTAGCGCCAATCCACCAAATCCGCTCACTAAACAGTACGCCAGGATTTGCTTTTCACAATTTGGCGGGCTTTAATAACATCATCTTTGAATAGACAACCAAACGAGGGCAAATAACTAGACACACCGGATACAGTCAACTCACTGAACAACTTTAATTAGCACGTCTGACTACAAGTCTGCGTGGCGCTTACTATGAATTTGAAGACCAATATGCTCACGGGTGTAAAAACACTAAAGCGAGGGTATTTCCCGTTGACGGAAGCAACATTTGTGCCCGTCAAGGAAGCGTTCTTTCACTGACTACTTTTGTCACGATTGCGCAGTATTGTAAAATCATTCACCTTAAGTAGTCGAAATTATGAAACACAAGCAATTGACATGCAGGAATGGATCCATATCGTTATTCACAAATTGCACGTGCATAAAAGAGAACATGTGCGTGTTCTTACAAGTTGTGCCGTATGGAAGGCGCGTAATTCTGGTCTTTTTCGTCACCGCAAAACTCATTATGCGAGAGTGTACGTGGTTAGGGTAGCAGACTCACTGTACTCTGAATGGGACAGCCTGAATTGACAAGGCGAATGTTCTTGACATTAAAGGCCACCATTTTCGAAGCAGACTGCAAGGACCACTAGAGCGTCAAAGGACAACCGTCAGTGCTAGTGTGCGCGATAACGGACAACCACGGCCGCCTAAGTACACCATTACCAACGGCATCAGACTAATTAAACCCCAAGGATGAAGTATTACCAGCACTGAATTATGTACAAATGTCTGACGTAGGTATTGAGGTCGTAACGGCTACGCAATATCTAATAAGTCCGACCATTACAGGTGAGTGACTGTGAGTCCCGCCAAATTAAAGTGTGTGCTTTGGACGATTAAAAACAACAATTTCTGGGCTTTTAAAGTAATGCTTTGAGTGAAGTAGACAAAATCTGCACGTACATTAAAATTGAGACGCTAATACACCAGATAAGAGCATGGGAGGTGGGATAATAGCCATAATCAGTAGATATCAGTTCTACTTTTGAACTTTGCGACGTCTATGAAGACTTGGGGGATCTTGATCTTCGTCTCCCTCTTTGGCGTCCGGTGGCTTAATCTCGGCCCAGCTGCCATCTTCGCTGTCTTCAAGGACGCTGTCCCGTTCCATGTCCTGCAAAGCATTTAGTCAGTTCGAATGATGCAAAAAGATGTTTCCGTAGGCGTACCACAAATACCATTATAATCGGGCCACGTTCCAAGTCAAAATCAATGGTAAAATACTTTGGTAAAAATACTGGTTAAGTCTACAATCTGCATTTAAAAGCTCAAAATATGGGGTTGCTAAGGTCCGAAAGGTCAGGCGTTTACCACAAAGAAAAGGACACGCCTCACTAAGCAATCTCAAAAACGCACGATAAGTATTTTGACGGAGAAAAGTCACCAAAAATTGAACGCTGGTTTACGGTACGATTGAGGTCCTTCATGCTTTGAAAAGATAATCCACACAATTAAAAAACCTATAAATTTAATCATTTAACCAGGAATTTCTGCCACAGACTAGATGACTACACCGTTAAAGCTTCATAAGCTCAACTTCTTGCTCATGTTTCGAAATTCACCTTGGTTCACCGGGCAATACCTTGCAGCCCACAATTTTCAAGTGCACGAAGGCTTCAACAAACGTGCTCCAAGTAGATTACCTTCAATTCTCACCACCCAAAATAAGCTCAGGCAAGACTGTAGAGTCCAAACTTTGCTTGTGACACAAATAACAAACTCACTTTAACGAACCTAATAATGATAAGAATCGTCCCAATATTTAAAGCCACTCAAGAACTGTCAATTCATCAAAACAGAAGTGGATATATTATACTAACGACAGTGAAGTGACATCCCTTGGCTCAACTTCTAGACGGCAATGTACAAGTACGAATTCGCAAACGGCAGGCAGTATCGTAGTACGGCAAGGAGACACAGCACAAAACTAAAACGCTGTATGGAAACCGCTGAATTATTTTAGGGATAGTGGATTTTTCCTTGTGTCGTTTAAAAAATCCCTGTGTCTAAGAGATTGATAGTTCCACAACCACAGTGACTGGCGTGGTGTGCAAATTCACGAGAAAAAACTATGCGGCGCATAACTTGAGAGCCGCTGCTTTGGCATTGTTGGCGAACACGCTTTGAGTCGTGCTGTATACCGATGCTGACGCCGAGCCGGCAAATTCACTTGTGAGTTCGATTAGCACAAAAATGTGGTCACGGTCGCGAAAGAGAGAGAGAGCTGGTGAAACTATGAGTATTAGCTAAAACAACCGCAAATTTCACCACAAACATGGTCTAATAAGCGGGAACCAATTCGATTTAATCAAGGGAATGATCAAGGTTGGCGTAGCGCCTATCACAATAAAGACCAAAGACTAGACATTAAACGTAATGGTGAACTTTCTACAGGAAGCCGTCCTTAGACAATTTGAAGTCAGAAAAAAAAACAAAATTACGTGGGTTTATATTCAGCTTTCCACCACCGAAAACCATTTGCCCTAGAATATTTCTACAAGAAAATAACTGAGGGACAAACATTTTGAGGTATTTTGGAATGCAGTTGACTCATCTGGGAGCACCGATGACACCAACATTAAACTCCAAAGACCTACATTTTCCTTTGTCACGATAGGCTCCGGTGGTTCTCCTTCCATGCCCACAACGTTGAGTATTTGCGGCCGAGGAGGACAAAAGTACTCACAAACACAGAGGATCAGCTAAAAACGGGGTAAATTAGTTAGAGGCTTTCGAGTACAGCACGCTTAGTTGATGGGGAATGTTCAAATCGGCCTTGGGGGCAGTTTCAACCTCGCTTTAACCCGCCTCTGAATGGGACAGGAAATTCAAGTGCATCAAGACGGCATTTGAATTATTCTGACTATGCTCGAATTTATCGCTCGTTGCCAGACGGTGTGCAAGAAAAATAGACTAAATCTAGGTGGGATGAAATTGGATATTATAGACTGCCACAAAAAGACAAGAGTGGCAATGATGACATAAAAGTGCGTTTGGTTATTGATGTTGCCGACGGAAGGCTAAATGGGATATAGGCATAAAGAACTTTTAATGGGGTAAGCAAACTCACCATGCCCAAAGCTGCCCCTGAGGCAAGAACACCGGTGCCCACAATGAGGATAGACAGTGAGGCAGGTACACCATGGTTAACCAAAGCTTTGTTCACCTTCTAAAGACAGAAGTGATAACAACGGGTATTAAAACCAACTCGAAATTTTTTTGCTCATTACCCCGGTGAATAAAGTCGATCGAGGGAGAAATGACCCCCGGGAAGATGAATGCAGTCAAGAGGCCATTTAGCTTTCACTAGCACGAATTTTCAGCAAACACGGAAACTAACCCAGGTATGGCGCCAGCCACGCCTCAAAATAAGAACCAAACAGCATATAGGGATTTGGAGGCTAAATAGAATAGGAGATAGGACGAATCACTAGCTTTTTGGACTTTTTAAACTCAGGCACTGGCAGAAGACTCCACTTCCAGGAAGCGAAAAAAGGGGTCAACGTACGCTAGACACAAAAATGGTATACACATCGGGGCCATCTAGTATAGTGGTGAAAGCATAAGACAACCAACGGAGTGTTTACCTACGGAACGAGGCCACAGTGCCATAATTTAGGAATCTAGATTCGGAAGTATTGGTACTTTCATTCTAGATATAAACAAGGCCAGGACAAAGTTAGAAGCCTGAGTCGCTTACCGTAACTGAAAGACCGAGATCAAGGAATCGAACAACGGCAGGCATGCTGAAGAACCACGAATAATTATATAAATTTTCAATTAAAAACATGAAAAAAATGCTAAAACCAAACTCACTAGAACGCATTTGGAGGGAGGGACCATGAGGTCGGTTCGATAAGCTCAAACTCGCGGTTCTGTATAAAGCTCACCAGCTCTTCAACTTTCCGTTTGCCCTTGGCATTTCGAAAAACCCCATCCTTAACACTAAAACAGATAGAGAAGTCAAGACTGGTTAAACAGAAACGACTTGAAGACACCCAAGTAATGTCGCAGGTAAATATATAGAAACCAAGAAAAAGAGACCCACCAAGTGAATTTGTGCCCTAAGATCCAAGTGAGCAGACATTCGAATAAAAAAACCAGATGGTAAAAAATCGCATATGAGTAATGTGAGGATTACCATTCCCAATATTATACAAGACTTGACCTTTTCCGCAAAATTATCCTGTTGAGGGAAATCCGGCCTGTAGTTGTAACACATTACAATACGTCAAATCAAGTATCTCCTTTTAGAAAACAGGACCCTCGTAAGCAACGTTTTGATATTAATGGAAACGCAACAGACCAAAACAAGAGTAAAGCATACATCGAAAAGATATTTTGGGTGAGGTTCTCAGGAAATCCTAGACAAATGAAGGCCTTTGGTAAGGCAAAGTTGTTCTCGTGATAAACAAGATACCGTGACGGAAACATGGACTCAAAAGTGCTCTACATTATAGACGAATTAAAAATGAATCTATTAAAGCCAGTAGCACAGTAATGTCACGTCTGTATAAATATAGATGCCTTATTGTAAGGTTCTGCATACATCAACCTACGACAGGTTCTCATTTTAAGAGAGCTTACTGAAATATCGTTGGAAGAGATGTTATGGTGAAAATCATTGCTACTGCTGGTTCGGAGGAACAGTCGACTTCAGCTACCTTCACCTCATGTTTCGGAGCGATCTCTGCAAAACGCTTCCACTCAGGAGCTACTAATTGGCACGAAGGGCACCAAGGAGCATAACTAAAATAGTGTAAGTTGTCGATGAACATAAAATTGTTTTGAAGACCTTGCAGTAATGAAAAATGATGTGACAAAAACCTTTCTGACACAATAACACAAACCACCAGCATATAAAATCGCATATTTACCATAAATCGTAAAAGGAAAGAGTACAAAAAGGCTAGATCCAAAACTCTCTAAACAGAATGTCTTCGTGCAGCCAAAATAATATAAAATGAAGCCTGTGCAGCTTAATGTACAAGCAACGGATAAATACTGTATTAAAATGAAGAGAGCGAATATAAATAGCTAGAGCATGACAACGCTAGACTCCGGAAAGGCAGATCTTGACGATTGCTGTCCAGCCCTTAGTCGTGGGAATGGCAGCCAAACTCAACTCATGATTATAATCACACATTGGCGCTAAATTGGGATTCATCTAGACTATTACAACTCCAGTATTATGAGAAATTAGCAGGTCGCTATTAAGGGAATCACTCAGATGCAGCAACGTCTTAAAGCATTTTAATTAGGAGTGTTTTAATTCAAGAACTTACTACGTGACACATACTAAAGAATCGAGAAGCACTATAGTACTGTGAAATCAGTTGTGCCCATATGCAGAGATCAAATTTTTTAATCACCAAGATTTGATTGAAGTTTTCTAAGGATTGCCACAAACAAGATGTTTAGATATTATGTTTGAAGCATGGCTTTTTGGGTAAAGTTACATACCAGCACACGAAATTATAAAAGATGAGACAAACTCTAACATAAGACCCACGTAAAAAGCAGAACTGAATTTGAACGGCATAACGCCACATTATACGTAACATACGACGGTTTACGAAAAATACATAAAATGTAAAATAATCGATTAAATATATTGGATCGTTTCGTAAGCCTTAATGCCATTTCAAGTGGTAAGTCAAACACCCATCCCTAAATTGGCAAGACGGCCATTATTGATCCCGACTAAGGGCAAATTGACGTGCAACAATTATAAATGCCGAAGGTGGTGAAACATTTTAGATTAAAAGATAAGAGGACTTCCACACTCTAGTCATGATGCAAATTCTTTGAAACAACTACACTTGAAACTATTGTTGTAGATAATGAATGGAAATCTAAATTGACTACAAAGAAAAAAATGCACAAATTTAGACAGACATGTATAATTGATATAGTTTCAAGGCAAAAGCATACATTTAACCATTATTCCAAGTAGCTATCAAGATAGGTAGATAAATAATTCTATTTGTGGTTAGTATAAAAAGGAAGATGTGGAGGCAAAAATAACTAGATACTAGGGAAAGGTAGCAAACCGTGCTTACAATTCAACCATCCATTCACCATATAAAATTTCGGTCCAGTTATGAACACTAAGAGGAAGCGACTCCTGAGCATTAACAAGCGAGAAGCAGCTCAAGGCAAACCAAATAAACAGCATAAGCATTTTAAGATGACCACGATTAATTTGAGATTATTGAAACAGCTAAATTAATACAAAGGCATTAAAACAAATACTTTTGCATGAGAATGTATCAGCAAATAAAGGTCGATAAATATAGTAAATCAAATCGCGTTTATGAAAACAAAAAGCGGTGCTAAAAGTCAGCAGGACCTTGTCACCAGTTGAACAAATAAATTTACTAAATATAATTTTATGTCTTTTTTGGTCAATTGGAAAAAATAGCAGCCCAAAAGATTGACGTTATTTACGAAATGGGCAAAGTTTTACCTTAGTTACTAGAAAAACAGAGAAAGCTGTCATTGTGAAGATTGTAAGAGCTTCGACTCTCAAAAGATATCTGTGTATAATTTTCTTCAGTCGTGAATTATTCAACACATTTATGGTTTGCGACCATATACAGATAATGCGCGTGCTAAAGATATGTCTAATTGCTTGTAAGACCCTGATACGCATAGTTACACTAATTCTGAGATGGATCACGACAATGAGCCAAATCATAAACAACGGAATCGGGGTCGAGTTTTAAATCTGGGAAACCAGGAAATGGAGTTCACTGGTGTTGGAAAAGTCAAAGAATACAAGATTTTATAACATTTATTACTTAATGCTGTACTGAGCGTTGCAATTTGCCTCAAAATTGTGTTTTCGCAAACATGGTGTTTTGAGATTTAACATAAAAAACTTTCAAGTTACCTCTTTTTAGAGTGCAGTCTTTGTTATTTGCTGTTAACATCATTTGCTCCATCTAAGGATGAATATTAATTAATGCCTGCAAAAACATATGTTCATGATATGCCTCACTAATTAATGCAGTCCGTGTATCTTAAAATTTTGACTAATTTTTAACAATCCGTGATTAAAAAGCATGTGCAGTATTCAAATGTACATAAAATGCTTTTTGAACTCAAGAAATTCAACACCACTAGAGAAGAAATTACCCATAACTGCATGAATTCATATATGGAACCTCGCTATTTTTTATGATCGAAATAAAACATTTTCTTATATTTTAACATTGGGACTGCATTAAATCCAATTTAAAGAAAAATTAAGATGTTTTTTTTAAATATTGATGGGAAGGCTACAATTCGTGATTTAAAACACTCGAATTTGCTGATTGTGCTTTAAATCAGCCAGTTTATGATTTTCTTTTATATTCCGAAAATTTACATCCGTCATCAATTATCATTCACCGTAACAAGTTAGATTTTAATGAGCATAAATGTTTGATCATTGAATCAACACAATGTCCATGCACATGCTGCTCAGAATATTGCCACACATTCGCAAATGGGACTTTTCAAAACAGAAAGAAATTTTATGTCTCTTAAGAATAGTAGACAAGATTGCTTTTAATCGATCCAAGAACGATGATAATGGCGAAGTATGTAAATATGTGTTTTTAATATTGTAACTCTTGTTATTTGAGAAAATATTTTAGTACCTCGCTTTCGTAAATGGAACCTTTGAAATAAAACAAACGTTAGTATATCAGATAGTTGCAATAAAATAATTTTGACAATATGAATTTCATAGTGTCTAGACCGAATTTTACAAAATGCACAATTTTTAAATTTATTTGACTATTTAGTTTAATTAAACTATACTGTTTTCATTGTCCTTGAGATCGGGCAGGTTAAAGATGCGTTTTATAAGGTTTGTTTGCTTGCTTGTGTTCTTTGTCGATTTTCCCCTCTATTGAAGCAATCGAATATAAAATAGATAGAAACCCTGGTTTTCCACGTATTGTTAGTGATTTCTTTTTATTCTACTTGACGATCACCATATAGTTTCTCTCATGGCGTTCCCTCTGTCCTACAAAGAAATTAATCAATATCGCTTTTTTAAGCCTATAAGTCTTGTAATACCAAATGTTATTTAGGTTTTTTAGCAAGGTTATCATTCGCACTTTTGTGGTGCTGAAATGCTGTTAATTAACAATCATGTTTTGTCGGTGGAATTCCTTTACCCTGTCGCGCCCTCAATTCTAGTTACCTTTGGAATCCTCTCGACATTCTACTTTAAGCCATTTTAACTGGCAGACACAGGAATTATTAAGCCAATGCTGCACTGTCTGTCATTTATGTAAGAACAAACATTCAAAACACTGTGCTAAACCATAAATGAAATCTCATTCAGGTTTTGTAAACTTTAGAAAATTAATGTTTAAAATGCACAAGCTAATTAACTTAATAATTTTGAGTCTTAAATATCTTTATGGAGGTGCTTTTGTGCCCATTCAAACCTCACTTCAATATCTTGTTGAAATGTGTTGCTTCCTAGTAGCCTATTTTCCTCGACATCATGACCATACATTACAAAATCTATTTCTGTTATGACTATTAAACGTTGTTTTCGCGTTTTGTAATGCACCCTTTTAGGACCACACAAATTTACCGGTTGAAAGCTTAAGTGTTCATTGTGATGAATAGCCATGTTTTTGGTAACGGATCCAATGTTTATAATGTATCCTTAAAATCAGTGATATCTTATTTTTTTTCTATTTTGGTTACAGTTTTCTCGTCGAAGAATACTACAAATTACTGCTAATATGTTTTATTGCTTTAGCAAAATTCTTTTATGAAGCCAATATTCTACTTGCAGGATTCACCGATGCTTAAATTGAAGTTGCTTTAGCAGTGAGATATTGGTTTTCCCAATCAATTCTAACAAGTAAATTCTATCAGTATTTTGGCATTCATTTGGATGATTGAGTTCTATCGTGTCCAATAGGTGGCCGGGCTTCGTTTGCGTTCTGGAAATCCCGGGGTTTCCTCTTTTATCTCCAGGTAGTCAGCTTTTAATTGTAAGATCCCTTTCGCTTCGGTTTGGCGTTTATGATTCCAACTTTATTGTAAGCAGGTTACGGAACTTACTGCACTTTTTTGAAGTTTTCTTTCCTGCTTCTATATGGTAGTTTCATTGATTCCCTTCAATTGGTAAAAATGCTTTTCAGATTGCTGTCCACGTTTTGGTGATCATTGAGTTATTATCAATTAATTTAACTGGTTTTAAGGGTTTTAGGTTTTGTAATTGAGTAAATTGATCGCATAGATTTTGCTGTTAGTGAGTTTATTTTAGTATACCCTCATTTAACTTTCCTTTCCATCACTTTTTCCATGTTTTTAGTTGCTAGCCAGCTTACTTCCTTTACTTCTTTCCTTTTCAGGATGGCCCTTTTAAACAGGAAGATGGTGGTCTAGACGTAGATAATGATAATGTCGTTGATTTTCCTTGAAATGAGCTTTGACATTCACTAGTTACTCAAGACTCATATATATTGCGAGGCTATCTATTATCTTTTTTTTCTCAAGGAACTTTATTTGCGCATTTATCGTGAAAGTGATGCAAGGTTTGTTTTTACCTTACCTTAGCTGTCTTGTCAACTCTACCTGTCTTTAATCAATATTGCCTTAAGTCCACTTGATCATTGTGCACATGATTATGTAGACCTTCGGTTTAGTGTTATGATTGTCAGTGCCTCATGGTTGAAAGGTCTCATGAGTTAATTCGTAGAAATTTGGGCACAATATGTCTTTGGTTGCGTTTCTCCCAAGCAGGATGTTTAACGCGTAAAAAGTAATTTTTTGTCCACTGGTTGGTATTACTTGTATTACAATCATTGCCATGAAATAAAATGCGTTCTTTTTACTGGTGATTAATAGCGCCATTTGCGTACCTTTGTTCGTTTTCTATATTTGTTGATGATATAATATTACGGTTTTCGATTGTTTAAGCCTTAATAATGAAAGAACTCTCTTTTCAATTTGCCGTACTTTTGTGGTTTTCGGTCTGTAACATGTTCTACATTATCATACCTTCCTTGTTTTTGCCGGTGTTAGTGCTCAACTTGTTAGGGGATGTTGCGAATCTGTAAAGTAATGCAACTTTTTTTCCTTATTCGAATTTTGGTCTAATCGCGTCATGTCATGTCACGCCTAATTTCCTTCTTACCAGTGTTATTAACGGACTATCATGTTTCTCCTATTTGTTGGTTGGGGGCTTTATGCAATTTCCCCTTTTAATTGGATTCTACCTCACAATTTCCAGGTTCTTAGCGGTCTTCTATGTGCTGCCTTCAACTAAGCCTCTTACTAAGCTGTCCCTGCAAATTTACGTTCGCATTTCACTAATTTCAATAATCATAAATAGCCAGTCTGTTTTATGTATCAGTCGTTGTACTTTCATTATTTTCCTCCTATTATATCCATGAACTTACCTTTGCTTGGTCATCATATGCACCTGTGATCATAAATTAAATTGCCATGTCGGTGTTGCTATGCGGGATACTTTAATGTATCAATATTAGTCGAATGGGAACAGGGACTGTGGCATTTTACTTTAGATATGTATATTTTTTAAGTATAAAGGATATTTTATAAGTTGCCAGACGATTTACTAGTCGAAACACGCTTAAGTAAATTTAGTCTGTTTCTTCAATTGCAAACACGTGCCACTTTGAGCCTATACCATGTACGTTTTGCAAGCGTCTTGTGAATCGTAATCATTCCCATGTTAGCGAACTTATGTTCGACGCGACTCTTTTTAAACCTGAAAATTGGCTGGCTAGCCGGGCTATCGGCAGCAGCTAAAGTTTTCGGGTGTTGCGTTTGCATGTATGTGCTAACCCTCGTCATAAAACTCGTAAATTTTAAATTAGCAACATCCAGGGCCATTTTCTTATCGTTTCGCGCGTTTTGCTTGATTACTGAGTCGCATTTACCCAAAGTCACCACACAAAACTGCCTTACAGCGTCTACTGTTGCACGTGGAATGTGGGAGACGAGGCGCCTCCTAGACAAGACCTGTCCAAGTTGCTTGGTGTAAATTCCCAACCGCATCCAGATGTCATCTTCCTAGGGTGAGGCCTTTGTGTTTTTTTCACCGTCTCCTTCCGCAGTTTGCAAGAGGTCGTCAGGTCGGCTGATTGGTATGAGTCATTCAAGCTCGTTCTTGCGCCCTTAGACTACGTCCTCGTAAGAGAAAACTTGCAGTTTATTCAGACCCTGCTAGATCAAATATCGAAACTGCTGGGCCATTTGGATCTACGCCTTTGTTAAACGTCACCTCCTACCGGCTTTGAACAACATAGAGTCAGAGTTAACGGCATTTGGATACGCAGGAATAATGGTAGAATGATGATCAGTCTCTTATCCTCCCTGTTTAGGGCAACAAGGGCGCGTGTAGCGTTCGCTTTGAGGTCTGTGGGGTCAATATGGCATGCGTCTCTGCGCACTTCACGGCGCACACCGAGAAGCGGGACGAGAGGATAAACGTAAGGCGGGTCGAAATAGTTAACCGATTTCACTTAGGACTATCACGATGTTTTGAAAGACCAGACTTTCCGCGACCCTGATGTTAATCTTCTCATGGATCATGAGTGAGTATTTCTTTTTCTTAAAAATGAATAACTTGGAAACTGTAGTATCTTGGAAGTGTATTTCAACAACATAGTGTGAGGAAGTGCTGTCTCCGCACTCACTTCTTTATTGACTGTTTGACAGCTCCGATCGCGTTCCTGACAACATTTCCGCCTGTTACAATCGACAAGTTTTTAGGCCTTCTGTTGGGCAATGAAGGCACTCAGTTGACTATTGGGCAGGTTGTGAAGTTGTTGAGAATTCGGAGTTCGTACAGTTGGATTTCGTGCATCCCGAGACACTTGCTCAAATACCCTCCTAAGCAATTAACTTGACACGTTGCAATCGGTTGTTTTCCACCTGCCCTCATTCACCTTTTCCTTGGCCAACGTAAACGGTTTAATGGCATAATGTGTGATCCTATTTTAGTTATGTTTTCTGGATGGGAGACCTTAATTTCCGGACAGAAAGTCTTGACAAGGATGGAGCAGAACGGCTGATTTTTGCTAAACGTCTAGACAGCCTAATGAAATACGACCAGGTAGGTATTTTAAACGTGGACGGTTAGTAGAATGCATAGTCTATGATAAGGACTTATGTACCTTTCCTACTTTGGAATGCCTCCTAAAGCCTCAATAGTATCTGGCCTGTATGTACATGATCATTAATGCAGCACCTCGTTTCCAATTTCCTAATTTGTACGCATCCGCCAGGAGCGCATTGGTTGCCACTACCCGGTAGATTAGATTGTTTGCCGAGCTTCTATATTTGGGGCGAACTGGTGTTTTACTAGTTAAGGTACACCCATGTGGTAAATCTCAATCTGTATTGATAAATCGAATTTCAAACAACAAACCTTTTTATAACTGTGTGCCCATTCCCACACTTTGATCCGGCGTAAAAATTATCATAGGATTAAATTCCATCATAAACATCTCATCTGGTCATGTCGTTTATTCATGCATCATGAATTTGTTTTGCGTGTGGCAAGCACTTAGGAGTAGCGGCGGTGGTGGTGGTGGTGGTGATGGTGGTTGTGCTGTGGTTTCTATGACCATCGCTGTTCCTATTACTTAGTCATATGGCGCAATCACGTTAGAAGTTGTATGCTTGTGCAGGTGACGTAGCCTTATCTTGATTAAATTTTAGCTGAAAAAGGCGATGGATGAGGAGCTAGTGTTTCATGATTTCAAAGAAGGTGAAATTACATTCCCACCGACATTCAAGTTCGACAAAGGCACAACAAACTACGACTCGAGGTAGGTTAATGTCGCTTAGTGATTTTCGGACTTTTGGTTGTGTTTGATTGATTCTGTGGTGGCAAGTTTACTTATTAGGGAACTTTGATAAGTCGTTTGATTCCAGTTGGATTGTATCAGAACCCAACACAGCCACTTCCTTTGTAAGACTTTTAGCGCGCTTCAATTTTGTAATATATCACTTTAATCAACAACATTCACGAAAAAGACGCAATGAGCAGATCCTTTTGCTTCCTTAGACATGACTTATTAAAAGTATTTTGCAGCGTCCAACGTGAATGTTTTACTGACAAATTTTGGGTTTATCAAAGCAGAATCAATTGACATTATGATGTAAAGTAGGGAGCTACTATATTTATCCGTAAATTGTCTTGTCTCTTGTGATATTTTAACTTTCTAGAAGGAAGTCTACACGGTTTTTCTAATGTTGATTCTGTTTTTCGAAATTTTGCCTAAGCAGTTCCCTAAATAAGGCTATTGCTTGATAACTGGTCGCCCCAAAGACGCAAGAAGCAAAACTGCTCGAAATCCGGGTTATCTTTGAATAATGATTATGCTCACCGGCACTAGATGCTGTATCTCCTCTTTATATTTTTATCCACTGTAGCTTTTTTTACAATATGCAGTTTTTAAGGTGTATTCTTGTCTACTGTTTGTGCTCCAACACTATCCAAGAGTGCGAATTTTCTAAGTGAAACGCATGCTACTTAATCGCCCCTCGTTTCTGCACACTATCCGACAGTAGATTTGAGATATTGCGATGTTCATTTCCGCCCGTCATTTTTGGTGTTCAATCACTCGCGAAGCCCAGGCGAGACGAAGATGCCTTGATCGTGTATGTGCCGGCAGAATGTGTGGGTGGGTGGGTGATGCCGAAGACGTCCAGGCACTGACGGCAGACGCCTTGGAAGCGGGGTTCAGGCGTGCAGACGCGGTGCGTTACGTCTGCATGCCCCAAATCACCAGGTTGAGGCCACACATGCGGGCAGCCGACAGGTGCTTTTGTTTCATCACTTTCATGGTCTGCTATTACTGATTGTGCTCATTTGTCACAGGGAATCGGTCTCAATTTTGGGTGCTTTGATTCTGAGTTGTAGGTATATCTGTTTTTGCACCAATTTGCCTTTTTGAAAACGCTTGTTGGAAAAAACGTTGCTTTATTTGAAAAAATCGACGACAATCTATTCTTTTTATGCCTTAATTACCCTCGGTGAATTGAGACAGGTTTCACATAGTTTGCGTAAGTACGCATGGAAGATGGTTTAGCTCCTTTGTTTCAAAAGCCGTAATTTCGGTTACGTGTAATTAGTTTCACAAAGTAAGCTGTAAGTCACCTCGTGGTAATTTTATAGGTGAAGCTTCACTGGTTTTTCAGTTATTTCAACATTGAGTCCTGTTCTCAAAATAACTCTATATTCATTATTTCAAGTAACCAACGAAAATGACGGCATGTTATAGTAACCTGAATGTTGACATGATTTTCTCCGATCTTTTTGAAATAATGCTTGATTTACTAAAAGTAGTTTGGTTAAATGTTAGAGCCAATATGGCTGATAGAAATTGTTGAAGATTATTTGCAAGCTGGAGGTATGCGACTCTTTGAAACGCGCCTTTGAGAATGTGTAAGCATGCTGGAAGGCCAATTTGCTCTTATGTGCCATTTATAATTAACGAGACTCAAGTGCCACCTTGGTGTTCCTTCGGGCTCAAAGGCAGTGCAGCCAAATTTGTGGTTTGAAAGTGATGCACATTAATTTTACACGAATTTTAACGGAAGGCCATTAACCAGGAAGTATGTGCTAAAACACTGGGATGACGCTTGCTGAAAATAAATCTCTGCCAGTCCCGTCATCGTTCTGTTTAGTTCTTTTATGAGCAAAGTTTATGTGGAAATGCATTCGAGGAGTAATAATGGCGGGAAGTTGCATTATTTACTTATGGTCGCAATCGACACCTTGGTAAGGCAGTGTTTCGTTAAGTGGTGATTGGTGCAGTTGACGCTGCGCGAAGTTTCTCGTTTTTATCTCACCTTGTTTGCTTCCAGCTGCTTCAACCTTGATGTCAGGAAATGCAGTAAATGTGGCCATTGAAAGGCATTCACTACACCAGTGAGGTGGCCACTGAAAGGCCCAATCTGTCCATGGTGCGATGACCTTTGGTTGGATACACAGGGTGGCCCAGATGCAATCGAACTCGACTTACTAATTACAATTTCAATGAAGGTTGTGTTCACAAATGCACATTTCCTTGATAATGGCTTTCTTGATTTTAAGTGAGAATTTGGTAAGTGGGCATTACTTCTGCACTAACCTCGTAATAATGTCTTCATAACTTTAGCTCAGACTGAGTTAACAAATGAGTCGTCTTAGCGTAAGTAAGAATTATCAACCGGTTGCCATCGCTTGGATTTCAATTTATCTACTGGTCTCTGAATTAAGAGTACGATTTCTCTTGAAATTTTCGAAGAATTATACTTGGAGGGGATTCGTGGGCCTGTTTGGGAGCTGTGGACAGTTGCGAGCTGCGCACTTGATATCACCGGACTCTAGCCTTAGTTGAGATGTGCTACTTATTTTAATTTTCAGTAAAAAACGGCGCGTTCCTTCCTACACCGACCGGATCCTATACATGCAGCACAACGACTTCGCTCTTGACCATAATGTGCAACTTGATGCAATGGGCCGCAAAACCGCACAAAAGTCGCGTAAAAAGGCCGTCCGAGGCGGGCCCAGCGCCTCCGACCGGCCGCCTCGCCGTGCCAATGACACCTCCACCGACCATCCTGAGCTCCGTCTCGTTGCGTACGACTACCTGCCCGAGTACACCTCGTCCGATCATCGACCAGTGTATGCCAGGTTCGAGGCCAAAGTTCCCAACTGCTGGTTTCAGCTACCTGTTCGGTTCATTCATTGTAGCGATAGACGTAGGTTCTTGACATTTTTGGTGTCTGTTGACACTTTTTGTTGTATTCACTTGAAATTTGTCTTAGAAATCTTAGCAATCCATCTATGAGCTGCACAGTTCCTGAGACCAATTATGTCAGCACTAATTTATTTATTCGTTTTCGTAGCCAGTGTTCAAGTGAAAAGGTATCTGAGATTCGAATTTCATTTACTTGGTATTGAAGTTTACAGAGGATATCGTCGATATAAAATTTTTGAGTTTCCAAATTTGTGGGCCCTGTGTAACATTGGGTTCTAACGTCGCCAGGCTTTATGTTTTTGAAATCTGATGTATGTTGCCGAAGATTATCAAATGTATCCCTACCTGTGATTCTCCAGAAAAGGCATCGAGCCAAACGTTGAAATGTGGGGGTCAACTAGCTTAAGCTTTATGGAGTATGAAGTCGCCTTTGATGATGTGAGCTGTTCAGTACAGTTGGTATTCTCAGCGAATCAGTCATCTCACGGCCTGGCATTTCAGTCCATGGTAGAAAGACAGACTGATTAGTACGGCGTAAGGAAGTAATCATTGCCAATTATGAACGCATAAATCGCTGAGCTAGTCTCCTAGTTTTTAACTGGAAAACATGCATGTTTGCTTTTCCGAATCCCTGTACCAGAGCTCATAAATCCTGTGCACTAGCGCCATCCGCCTGCATGTTGCTCCATCCCAGCGGATTGTCTCACGGTGGCAGTTTGTAAGGGCGCGTTTTTTTTATTTGCGGCTGCTGCTACTGCTGTCGCTGTGCCACCGTTTTTCCTATGCGACCTTTTGATGAGAATTGACACCAGATGTGTTGGCGCTCTTTAGGTGTAATCCACAGTGTGACATGGTTTGTTTGTGGTCATTGAAGGAGCTCAGACGCATCCTTTGACCTCTGCCCAGCTATTTTTGCCGGACTTTACTTAATTTCGCCTGTTGCCCCCCTCCCCCGTTACTCTCTTCTCTACTCTTATTGGTCAGAAATGGATCAGTGTTGCATATTTATTCAGTTGACATTTGTTCCGTGTTTTGCATCGTGTTTAACCCTGTTAGGGTCATAATGTTAGCTCAGGTAACCCACGGATAACAGATGACCTTTCACTACTGGCAGCGGTGCTGGTCTTTGTGTTATGTAATTGTGCACCCAAGTTTTCGTGTGTGAATGTTCACAATGGAAACCCTCCTTTTCTACCTCTTGTGTCATTGCCAGTCCTGTTCATTACTTCGCTTTCGCTAATGATTTTATTCAATCTCCCCATCGCGTACATTAAAGTCGTGCTTTCACCCGCAAGGGCCTTTGAATGCTCACTTTTCATCGGCCAATAGCGGATCATAGTTTCGTGAAGACTGATTGAAATATTCCCTTGCAATAATTCATCACGTTCTAACATCAGGATTAGTATCTACGCGTAAGACGAATGAGTGGCGTCCGTCCCAACCACCATATGAATTATGTTTTTTACCAATAACGTATCTGTTAACTTTTTTGCGCTGTGTGTATATCAATTTGTGCGTAACTGTTATTTTGTTCCATAAATTTCATGGAGCATTGATGACAAGTCCTTTGTGAATCCTCTTGCTTACGAATACACTCGATTCTCCCAGAAAGAAATCAGCAGTAACAGATAAAATAGGTCCTTGTTTCCCATAATCATACCTTCTGTTTATCCTGTTACATATTCTAAATGGATCTTTGTAGACAAAATCATCTGAAATAAGGCTTCTTTTACATGATTGACTAATTTTGAGGCAGTGTCCATTTCTTAGTTGCCATCACGTTGTATTTTTGTTTAAGCTCATCCTGTTAACAAAGACCTCACTTTCCTCTACGCGGTGATGGACCCCCCTCCGATCATCACTGAAGGCTGTCCAGGTGAAGGACAGAGAGCGCTCAAACTCCGCTCCCGTGTTCGTTCAAGCTCCACTGACGATGTTTCTCGTGCTTCTCGTCTTGCGATCAATCCAAGCGTCCAGGACCTTGTCAAACAACGGTGCAACAATTTGCTCACAGTTAAACAAACTAATCTTAGCTTGTCATGCGGTGGTCACGAAATGTTTCCACCTGCGACTCTACAGGTGCAAAATTGGGACTGGGTTTCAGTTTTACCTGCTGACTTTTACGATTTCTGGAAGGATGAGTTCACCGTCATGTCTGCGTCGACCTCCTCCCTCTCCAGTTCTGGTTCGACTCTCGATGAAATCGTTGAGGGGAATGCCAACCGATTTGAAAAGATTGCGGCATTACGCTCACTAATACCTGCGCCATCATCCGTCCTTGATTCTTCCTTATTAAAGGGGAAAATTGACCATGCTGTTTTGGAGCGCTGCCATTCAGACGCCATACAGCTGGTCTACATGTCGAAGTCGAAAAACTGTCCCCAGGGTTATAGCGATATCATAAAGGTTAGTTGGGAAACTAGTTCATAAAAATTCCGTGCTTTAGTGATTTCGATTTATTATACCTCCATTCTAGCCAAATACTTCACTCGTAATATGAGTTAATGCCAAAGTCGCGGCAAATTCTCCTGCACATGAGAGTCGGCTTATGGTGTCTTTTCTCACAGCTCACGGTCAGCGTCAGTGTTCCATTGTAAAGTTTTTCATTGTGAGGTTTCACTGAGTAAAATTAACTAACAATGAAGGTTTTCACTTCACTGGTACTCTAGTTTGAGTGCGGTGCAGTTCTTGGAACCAATTCCTTGTTTTTTCCCTAATGCCCCCATTCAAATGTCCTTTGCCGTTTCCCGTTCTGTGTGTACAAAGGTGCCCCATCAAGTATTGTAAATTGGCTGCGTACAGTTGAATATTGCACGATTTTTTAAAGATTATTAGTTCTGCCTTTATTTTCGCTTTGCTTTATAGCTTTCGCCCCAAAATTTGGTTGCGTCATAACTTGTGGACTGCATCTATCTGGATTCCTGCTGAGGCCTGTGCAAACGCTTCACGTTCCTTGTGCCTTTTTATTTGATTATTTCGTTTGGTTTTTTACAACATTTCGGTGGAACCGTGTCGGCTCATCTACATTACTCGGGTTCACTTGTTTGCCTGTCTTATTTTGCTTTATGTGCTTAGTCAACCTGTTTGAAGCAATATTTTGTTGTATTTGCCATATCTCAAATACTCTCCTTCTTTGCAGTTCATGTTGGGGTGCAGTGGTTATTTCCCCCATCGACTGTCAAGCGAAAGTTGTCTCTATTCTTAACTTTGTCATTAATAAAGCACCGTAGTTTATGTTTGAATTAACCAGCGATTTGCTCCCTGTCCGATTTTCACTTAGCAATTACTGATTTTAGATGTATCGTTAATAAGCCTGCGAATACTGCTTCGCGATTGCGGATTGAAATTACTGCCACAGTTTAAATTACTTCGAAATGGGAATTTCAATTAAAGCCAGATATCACGTTGTTCGATCTATTTGTAATCCGAATCTGCATAGATTTGGTTTCTACTGGTGTATTTCTTGCTGCTAATTGTAATTCAGTGGTGAAACTTAAAAGTTAATTCGAAATTACCCAGAAGTGAGATCTTTTGTCTTTTCCTACTGGAGTCCATCTCCTGGTCTACAAGTTTTTGGTCATCGTAGTCGGGAAATCTCCCCGATAAATGGATAAGTTCAAATTAGGAGTCCACTTGTAACGTTGACGCCCCAGAAATCTAGTTCGTTAAATTGGAGGATGTGGTCCGGATTTAATATCGGAGTAATATCAATTTTTGGAACCCTTAGGTTTCTGACCTGAGCATTACTGCTACTGTGTCCATTTGTCATCGATATGGTTGATTCGCACCCTATCAGCGGTTACCACTTTTCCGTAAACCGGCGTAGATAAGATGTTTCAAGGCTGGATGGGTTAATAGTTGAAGCTTCTTGCTAAGCAATTATTTCGCACGGTTTTGGTGGGATAAAACAATGCAACAAAAAGTTCTATTTTACTCAGTAATCATTATCAGTTCCCGTTGACTTTGAGTTTAAAAACGTTTATTTACAAAATCATGAATTTCCAGGCCCCTCTGGTAAATATCACCTTGGCTATGATGTCTATTTGCATATAACAAGTCTATACATTGCAAAATTGTGGCGTCTTTTGGCCAATAAACTAACTAGGTGGCTTAGGCAAGAGGAAGTTCTGCAAAGATCTAAACAAGTGGAAAAATGATAGTTCGACGTGTAGACCACAGCGTGGACTCGTTGACGTGATCCTGCCAAGTGGAAAAAGTTCTCACGAATCTTCATAGAAGACGTGTGGGCCAGCGTTGTTGTGGTGGTGAAACATAGATAATTTCCTCTTATCGAGGATCTTGGTGACTGATCGTCCACTGCAACTGGACTCGACTGCACCACCAGCTCTGTTTACTGAAAACATTCGCTCATAAGTCTTCCACACACTCCTCTATTGTGGATAGTTAAAGACAAGAAATGGCATCTTTGCGGTTTCACAGACATAGCAAGGAGTCACTGAACCCAGTCAATGCTACTCCAATGGTGCCTCCTGAGTGGACGCTCCGAGATACAAGTCCATGCCTTCTTGCATGAAGTCAGCAACAGCTCCAGACACCACACCCATTCACTGAGCCGAAAGTTGAGGAGTGTTTATTCTACAACCTACTAGTAGGTAAGGCACTACATTCGAGTTCAAACTTCTCCGTAACTGAAAGTTAAGGATGGACTACTTGTAAAGAAAACTAGAATAACCAGTGCCCACATATAGCTAATGCTTGGAACAGGTAACGCTGTGGCTGTTTCGGTAAAGGCATGTTGGTAACATCGGAAACCAGTTACGGATTAGTTATTTGAGTGTGAATTAATACCAGGAGACAAAATTGTCAGAGCCGAAGGTCTAAGTAAACGGAAAGTGAAAACTTCCTACATTTCAGCATGCAAAGGCCAAATATAGCATGGAAAAGCACTAGGAAACAATGCACCTGGAAGTGAACTAGATGAGGGTTATTCCGGCTCTGTGCGAAGGAAGAAATTACTGGCCAATTTCGATTTAAGGGTTTTTAAAACGCTCTTGCATTATTTAAACTCCGTTTTAAATGTGCTCCATAGTAGCTTTTTAATCTTTTTATTTTTAAAAATGTGTAAACAGCACAGTAAAAAGTTTTATGGTGTTATTGTTTTCATTAAATATTATTTACGTTGGTCCATTTCGTTCATTTCGGCATACTCTAGTAAGGTGAATGGAATCTTGCCATGCTTGACTTTAGAGGGGGTATTTTCGTTTTTTTTCGGACTATGATCAGGGCTTTGTTTTTTCTTATTATCACTTATAAAAATATTTGACGTTGCAATTTTTGAAACATTTGTTTTAATTAACATTGAAAGACGGGAATTACGATGGACAACGGTGCTGAAATTGATCTCTATGATAACATCGAGGAGGATTTTGTTCAGGTATGCCCACTTACAATACTGCATTTTAGGATTCAACTGAGCTTACTGAGCTATATGACGATGTAATAACCCCATCATCACTAAAGCCCGAGCACTCTGTCTCCGACATTAAGGTACTTGTGAAATCCCTTTGATCTCCTTAAGTTTAAACCCCTAACATCACAATCGGTGCACACAGGAAAGCGGTTTGCTACATATTTGGGCAATCTCACGTGGGTATGTTTGGTGCTCACCTTGTACTTAGTTCTTTGTCATAGTGGACTACTGATGTCGATATTTTTGAGGCATTCAACAACATCGGCGTGAAAGATATTCTAGAAGTAAAGTTTCACGAAAACCGTCAGAACGGGCAGTCAAAAGGGTTCTGTGTGGTTGTGTTCGGGTCTGAAGCGTCTGTGAAGACGGGAATGGAGAAAATATCAAAGATCGTGATTAATGGACAACAGCCAGTCCTTACATATTGTACCAAACACAATTTGACTATTTTTGAGAAAGCTGCTAGCAATGATGCTAGTGCTCAAAGTTCATCTTCCGGCTCTGCTTTACTCGGGTCTGGTTCGAGTAATTTCTCAGGTAATCGTGTTTCCAGTGGTTCAAGTAAGGCTTAATTCATTAAATTACTCCTATAGGCAATGGTCGCCTGCCTCCACCTCTAATGAGTACTCCGGCGCTCCCAGTCTCTCTTGGTTTTAGCGTAAGAAACAGTTCATCTCTCATGGGCCGAGCTGCCTCTACACGCTCTTCAGGCAGTACCCTCCCACTCGGTATTCCCAATCTCTCACAAGGTTTCCAAAGTAGTGTTTTTGCCTTTGTATAGACTTGTTTCTTAGGTCTACTTATGTCAGGATTTAACCTTCCTACAAGCCTTTCCACTAATCCGGGATCTAGTCTCATTCCCACGCCACCGCTTCCAATGCCTTGTACTTCTGGAACAAACACTCATATCAACCCAAACTTTTTACAGCAAGGTGCTTTAACTCAAACGGGAGCTGTTGGTCCTAGTTCCTTACTTCAAGCGGCTCAGTTAGGTGCCTCGGTTCTCCGTCCGCAACTAGACCAGTTTGGACGACCGTTGGTACAAACCTATACACCAGGTGACAATTGACTTAAATAGGCCTCTTCTATTTTGAATTAGTAAGGTGTTGTTATTGTTGTAGGCCAGTCCGGAAAGATCAGTGAGGCTGAATTTGAAGATATTATGCAAAAAAACAAAACGGTGTCTTCAACTGCAATTAATAGGGCTGTCCAAGACGCTGCCTGTGGAAACTATGCTGGAGCGATAGAAACTCTCGTCACTGCAATATCCCTTATTAAGCAGTCGAAGATTGCACATGACGATCGTTGTAAGATCCTCATAAACTCTCTGCAAGACACACTTCATGGTATCGAAACAAAGTCATATGGTTCGAAGTAAGTTTCTTTTTTGGCTTTCCCCTTTTTATGTAAGCTAGTTCTTTGTCGTCCTTCTGTGGTCGAAATGTGTACTGCGTTATATGATAATCACAACGTTCGTCTTGTTGTTAATGCCACTTGCTTCGCATCCAGCCGATTTGTCGCGCATTGTGCAGCCTTTTGCCAAATAGCCTTCTTCATTGAATCCACATGTTTTCCTAAACCATCATTTTCTTGGGGATTTTTTCTTTTGTATAATTATTACCATTTTCTCCTTTTCCCTTCATCTGTCGCTTGAATTGTACGTTATGCCCTTTTGTTCGGTATCCTTACTTAGACCCGGTTCTGTAATGACACTATTTAATCATGTTTACAGCGGCCAATTCTGTCCCTTGTTGATTTTTGAGCCGTAACTTCCTACCTTTCTGTTTTGTCCTAGCTTTGCATTGTCTTTTAATCCGTTTGTACTTTGAAGTTTGATTTATTCCCTAATTTTTGCTTTTGTATACATTATCTTCCATATTATAGCCTCTCCTTCATGAACTATACACAACCTCCCCCTGGAATGTCTGATGAGTAACTTCACAAACACCGTTGTATTCGTTCTTTCCTTGTACAATTGCCCACGCTGGCAGTCTTTCCTCTACTTATAGGGGTGGGAGTGGCAGTAGACGTCGGCGACGTTCTTATAGTAACAGCGGTAGCGAAGGTGGGGATGATTATGGAGGTAGCAGTAGTCGGAGGCATCATCGAAGTGACCGTCACCGTACGCGTTCGCGCTCACCACGCGGAGCTCGAAATGATGACAGGCGCCACAGATCGTCAAGAAATGAACACGAACGATCTGGTGGTCGCAGTGACCGCGACTATTATAGTAATGGATCCCCCGGATATCGTGAGTCAAATCGCTATCGGCAGTGAAGTTTTTCGTTGGTGGTTCTGCATTTTTTCACGTACTCCTGAGTTTTCGGAACGTTCTACTCTCTCCCATCCCCACTGCGACTCTCAGTCTATACCCGGCCTGTGTAGATAAACCGCTCCCTGCTTCCTGTACTAAATCATTTAACCGCACATGCATACACCAAGCAGTTTAACGAACGGCGCGGCTGGACGTAAGTCAGTCTGTTTACTTATGCTCTTTCGCTGCTTTTCTCATGTTTTTACGACCTTCATTTCAAACCTGTATTTATATACTCCTTTCTAACAAAACGTGTAATAGCAAATTCGACTTCATTTGAATAAAGACAATCAATGCGTGTACTGACGCCATTCGTTGTACAGCCTATGTATTCGTAATATTGCATTGTACAAAGTAACTCGGGACCTGCAAATAAAGGTGTAGACGCCATCAGCTTTCTGTTCTTTGAAATAATACACAAGTAAACTTGTAGACACCGACTTATTCTTTCTTCCTTTTAGAAACTACCGTTCACCTTGGACGCCTTACCTGATGATCCTCGCCCCAAGTCTTTGTATTGCCTCACTTGTGTGTCCCAAAATAAAGTTTTTCGCTGATTTACTCCTTATGAAGGCGAACGACATCACAATCAAATTTTTTACACAACGCTTAGGCCCACAAACATCTCGGAAGTGGCGTAGGCTCTGACAACTATAGTTAAGTTAGTTTCCTCCTCAAAACATACAATGCGAGACAAGTGCTGGGTACATCTCTCTGTTTTTTATAGTTAGGCTCGGATGTTGCTATAATTTTAAAGGCAAGTGTTGGAGCCAACTTCTTCAAACCCCTCTTGGATTAATACTGTGTAAAATTGTAATCGACTGCTGTTGCCGTGGACCCATAACAGTCAAGACAGAAGGCAAGTATCAACGTTAGGAATTAGGCTTGGATCCACTGAACAGATTCAGCGACATCGTCTGGGTGGAAGAGCTCGCGAACCATAGCGTAAAGATACGACGGCGCTTGCCCGCCTTCTGTTGTTAAAAAGAGGCTAGTGAGACCGGGAGGTATATAGTCCCAATTCGGCAACCAAACAACGGGTTTCGGTCCGCCAGATAGTTTTTCTGAGTCGGGTAGTAGTCTCGAAGGCGTATCCAGTGAATTTACGGAGAGATCTACTGCGGCTAGCGAGCCGGTCATTGATCCCGGGGTGCATTTTGCGTGGGTATTTGCGGAGGCATATGAGCAATTGGAGACTAAGTTAAAGTTGACTGGAGATATCTTGTATGACGGAAGGCACACATATGTCTGCAAGGCAGAGTATGCAATAGGTTGATTAGCCATGTGCAGAAATGGATCAGAGCATCCAATCGATGTGATTAGCGTACTGGTATAGAGAAGTGTTTCGCTGCCAGCATCACGGCGTAGGTGCCAGTTTGGGCTTTCAGCGATCCATCTGGGTATACTGTGTCACAACCAACGATAACCTAGGCAGTTGAAATGGAACACTCCAGTAAACAAAGCATTACAGAAAGTGGGGTAGTTATTCAGGGTATGGACAACACGAAATATTACTTTGTTCACACGCGCCATGAGACCGAAAACGTGGCTATCGGGGACGAGAATGACAGAAATTTCGTCGTTGGCCAGGTTCTGTGCCATTTTAAGGCCCTCATTATTTGGAAAAGCCTCACAAACTATGACACGGAACTGACGGGTTTTGTTCGCTGCGTACTAAAAGAACGCTTTCGATGAAAGTGGAAATCTTACTTTCAGAAAATTATAAACTGTTTTGGAATGACCAACAGTTAGAATCAGTTCATCTGAGTGGATAAAGTTCAAAGACGAGCTGGATATGTAGCCGACATAGGATTTGATATCGGCCTTAAAATCGTCTGAGGCAGTGAGCAGTTGCTTACTAAGTTCCTCTCTTCCGATGCGAGACCAATCAATGGAGTTTGTATTAGAGAGTAAATTCTTAAGATTAGTTTAAAACCCAACAGTTACCAACTGGAGTTCCTCTCTTTCCACTGTACCACTGGGAAGCAATCTACAAAGCACAGATAGACTTGAAAAGGTAGTTACTTTATCGATTCCTCTCTAATTATTTTTAGGAACCTAAGCAAGGTATTGTGAACCACAGTTTCTTCAGATGAGTGCCTCAAAATGGATTTTCCAACACTATTTACAAGATCGATAAGTTCCCTGAAAATGTATCAAAGAAAGAACATACTTTGCATTAGTCCATTCTCCATCTTTTACACATTTCTCCAAATAGTTAAGAGTTGCGAGGGTCTTCGATAACTTTGATTCTCTAAAAATAAAACGCAGCCAAGAATTTACTTTTTTGAGGCCGGTAATGAGTAAATTTCGTCCAAAAACCCATTTACAAGATCCATTGTACCAAAAAGCCAATTAGAGAAGGCTGAAAAGTAGCATCATTAGCCATGTCAAAAGTAATACGTTGATCAATCCCATAGATACATTGAATTCTTACGTTTAATATATTTTGCCACAAACCAATGACATTATCTTCATAGTCAAATATTTAAATGAAGTCAAGAGTTATATGTAAAATATAACCGTTTCCCTCTTGAATAGAACAGAGATGCTTTATCTCTTCCAGCAACAAATTATCTGCCTTTTTCTTAATGTCGAATTTAGTTGTGCTGAACTTTATTTAAATGTCATCCCATTAGAATGCAAATAATATTTATGGTTGAATATGTTAATGCGAACTCTTACATAGAGCCAACAGTCCCGCTGTTTTGCAAATACATGACATGCTCCTCCATCATCTAATTAACATCGTTTCACGTTTAACTCAGTGAAGAGATTAATAGTATGCCTATTAAATTATGAGAATAAATATGCTGCGTTAAAAAGGAAAATAAATGATCATACATTGCATTTTAATCAATCAAATGCGCGTGCGAGTTTACACAAATTTGCAACTCGTGTCATTTACTAGTGGTGCCGAAACTCGTTTACCTTATATATATTCATTTATTTAAGCGGGATAATTGTCAAGAACCATAACAACGAAATTTACTTAATATAACTTAATACATATATGAAATCAACTGCAGTAACAGCAAAGAAATCCCCAGTTCAAAGTCTTTAAATATGTTAAGTTATACATGTAGAACTGCTTTAATGAGATAAATTGGTCGCACACGCGTGTGCTAGAATTCTCTTGAATTGATAGTTGACTTACCACCGCTTCAGTCAAATTTAACAGCACCTTAACTACTTTTTTTCTGTTATCCTAATTTTACACTATTGCATTCATATCTGTAAGCCTTACAAGAGGTCAAGAAGTAAGCTCACTTTCTCAGATGTGCTTGATACCGTTTTCCAAATTTTTCTATAATCTCTGTGAAATCCTGATATTCAGGTGTTGTTAGAAGACTGAAACTTCCATAAAATTGAATACTTAAAATTTTAAAAAGTTTATTAGGAACGGATGAGTAAAAATGAAAACATTGTGTTTATTTAGAATAAATGTTCTCTGCTAGTTTATTTGGAGTTATGACTAGCCTATCAAATGCAAATATTTGCTGTACAAATAAATCTTTAATTAATCTTGAATTTACCTCTTATTTTCGTTTGAATTATAGCAAATCATCACAGGCTTATATTTCCTTTGTTTAAAATAACAAATGCCTTCACTGTACAACTACGTCAGCTGATTTTTTGGGATATTAATTCGTTTGCTTTTATTATTCCGATGTCCCAGTTTAGTGACCTACCTGGTAACTTATTGTTTGTTTATGTGTTTCTACTGTGTTTAAGTCTGGCAAGTAGTGATTTTTTTATCATAGGAATCGGTTTATGCCATTATACTCGTGCCTGATCAAAGTGCATTCAACTAATTTGTTAGAGTACACCATCACCCCTTTTTTTCAGAACGCTTTTAAAGCTCTAGAAACTTTTATCTTTGCTTTCCTTTTTCCATATTATATTAGCTCTTTTATAGTGCTCAATAATGTTGTTTACACCAAAATTATCTTTGAGAAAGTTTTTCTTAACATTTCTCAGTCACTCTAATCACGTAGAATACAGATGCCATACTTGACTGTACAGGGGTTTGTTCTGGTAACATTCATGTTTATTGTGATTTTTGATTCCGTAGACTACATTGACATTCGGTGGTATTTATGCCCCTAATCCATCAGCTTTTTAATTGCACATTCCAAGTTTTCTGTTTCAGTAATTCGCGATTAAAGTCTTTTTAGGAGCACTTTGCCATGCACAACGGTTTTCTGGTTTATAATCACAGAGAGAAAATAACTTGTGGTTCCATGGTGATTTCTTTGCTGTTTGTCAATCATTTGACTCAGGTTGGGAGACCCGTAAACTGCAATTGGATTGTCTGTTAGAATTAGCATCTTATAGTTAACTTTGTTCGTTTCCAAAGATTTATGCATCGCCCGTCTAAGGTCCTGCGTGCTCGTCTTTTTCTATTACTTGTTGCTAAGCTTTTTACTTTGCTTCATATGTAATGTACTCTATCGTTTGTTTTGCGTGGTTAAAATCTACTAGTTCTCATCTCTCTTATTCATTACGTGAGCTTTCGTCTCCTTTTATTTTACATAAACAGAAAGTAGTGCAGATTGGGTCGAGTTGACTTCTCATTTGTTGGGAAACGGGCGGGGCTCACCTCGCACCCGTCACCCCGGCGTTGAGGTGCATTCAGCTGATCTCACAATGCTCTGCTCAGCACTTGAAGAACACATTAAAACATCTACTGCTTCCACTGTTCCTGTTAGCTTTCTTCCTTCAGAACCCTTCAAGGACTCTAACCCTGCCCTTCCTCCAGAGCTGTGTTTCAGTCAATTCGGAGAGTGGCCCAGTCGCCCTGACGTGTCTGGGTATGTTAGGTTTTTCGCAATTGTATACTTTTTTATATATTGATATACTCCTTGCATTACACAGGAAGTACTGCCATCCCTGATCATTCATGCTCTTTGAATCACGATCGTTTTACACTAATGCCGCATCTGTTTTGGTCAGAACCAGGTTTTACTGACAGCATTTAACCTTAAAGTTACTTCTTTTGAGGATTTGACGGTCCAGAGTTTGTGTGCGTAAGGAATTAACCAAGTTCTTCGTGGTTTCCGTTATTCACCGCCCAAGCGTGGAGTTAGGGTCTTCCCTTCCTATTAGCATACGTAGAAGTTTTACTATTATGATTTCCAATACATGCGTGTCCTAAATGTATTTTCGGGTTGCTTGGGTTCCAGTCTTGGTCATTTGGGTATAAGTTTGATGCCAGGATTCAGTCTCTTTTGAACATAAATAGAAAAAATGCATGTAAATTATGTTTTTTTAACCCAAAAAGTTTCCCTCAGGCTCGGGGTTATTTTTTATTTTAAATAATTCTGAGATCATTTATTTTGAACAAGACTTCCTAGAAGTAAGGAACCTGTTGCAGAATACCTTATTTCTTATTGGCCTTGTTTAAGTTGGCTCCGAATCTTAAATATTATGTCGTGGTTTTTGGTCTTCTTTGAAACTCGAGTTTGAGAATCTCCGCATTTGCGCTCCTCAGTTAAGGCGTTGCGCTTCCATGCATCAGGTGTGCATGTTTTAGATGATTGTATAATACCTGCAATACCAGGGGTTGCCCACCGGTTGGGCTCTCCTGTAATTAACCATATTGGTAATGCCTGCGACATTTATTTTACAGGCCGTGTTCACTGTTGCTCTCAACTGGCCCAAACTCGGTAGGTCAGTGTTCAGCTGATGCCACTCCACCAAATTCCTTGGATGAGTCTTGTTTGGGTAAACCGGAAGATGATGAAGAGACTAGTAAACGTCCCTGGCGGCTGAGACACTCTTCAATATTTCAGTGGCGTTTCGTCGGGTGGTTTTTGCGTAATTTTCCCACCGTCTTTCGACACTTTGCGTCCTTCCTTCTTGGTGCAGCCGCGTATGTTGGGCCTATTTTTACCAATTTTTACCAAAACGTGGTTCAGTGGAGCTTATATGAGGAAACTTAAATTTTGACATATTGATAACTCTGTTGGATTTGGGATAAACCCTAATCTCAGGTTCTTCGCTTAAGGCCTTAGGAGGAGCTTCTGGGCCATGAAAACGATACCAGTTTCTCAATTCTTTGCACCAAAACCAGGTGTCTTAGGCCTGATGACAATACTTGCTTTTAGAACGAAACGCCTCAAATTGGAATGCATTAATCTTCATATCGTCAGTCACACTTACAAATTATTTGAATGGTGCTTAAAGTATTAGTGTGTATTGGCTTAAGTAAAGTGATTCTTTCGACCTTTCCACCACTGTAATTAGCTTATTAAGATCACGTAAGGACATCCTAGTGAAACCTAACACTTTTATTATGGATTCTTGATTTATCACTTAAACATGGTTCCTCGCGTAAGGTCACTGCTGTTGGCTTCAAATTTAGTATTAATTGAATCCGAATTTCGAAGTTGTCGTTCTTGTTAACATAAACCTTTAAAATGGAAGTGGTGACTTTGTGGTGAATGGGATCTTGAAAGTCATAAGAGGGAACAATTTAGACAACTACTGTAACAGAAATACGCCGTAACTTATTTGGGGATTTCCTACATTATCAGACGCCAGGTATTCACTGCTATTTTCTGCTGAATTAATTGTCTAGCAGGAGTTTTTAATGTTTGTTTTCAGGATGTTGCTGCTTCTGAAGAAGCGGGTAAAACTCCCATTTGTCCCACTGGAGTAACAAGTGAGTTTTCTTCACTATCGTTTTGATCCTACCCACTTCAACACGACTCATTACAATATTCCCCCATAAGCACACAAACTCTCACGACTACTGCTCACTTGTTTTTCACACAATGGCATGCGGCGAGTTCGGAGATCTGTGGTTATGACAATGTAATTTTATTTTTAAATGACAAGTTCACTCGTGCATTTTCGACTCTTTATTTCCTCATCTCCTCGTTCACTATCATTTTGTATATTTATCTTATGGGGCGAGGGGTTGTTGTTGCTTGCGACCCCTCTTGATATAAATATGTGTGTATTCGTTCACTTTTTTGGGTCTTTCTTCTTTTTTGGGTTGGCCTAGGTTCATTGTTCCGTATCATTGGGTTTACAAGTAGATCGTGAATGAGGCTTCCCCGTTAAATCACATCACTTCTGCCAGTGGTGCCATCTTTTGTCTTTCATATTTTGTATAAAAGTTACGGCTGGCCACCACCAACAAGGCACAAAAATGTACTGTAACGTTTCGGATCTATGGGCAGATTCGTCACAATTTTGCGTCTGGTTCCTATCTGGGGCGTAGTTCTATTGTGGGCAACATTGTCATTTCTCCCTGTTAGCCACTTCAGGTCTGCCACGTTTGGCCAAAGTTTATTCATGCATTTAGGATTTTTAAACGGTGAATGTCAGTTACAATTGACTCGGGCTACCGCATTTTGGAGAAATAACAATCGCAGGATCCATTTAGTTGTGTATTCCAGTGAAATTCATGCAGTCGGAAACTTGAGTCCCGAATTCAAAGTCAGTATTTGAATGGTGATGGAAACCTATTTATTTTACTTTTTTACTGCTCAGCCTGACAGCCAATGTTTTATCAATATGCCTGCTTTCAATAGGGTGATTTGAGAATGAACTGACGCATTTATGAACAGAAAATTATGACGCTCCTGGCGTTGAGCTTCCGTTACATGTGTGGTTAAGTAATCAGTCCCAGATTTTTCCTTAGCGATATATCACATTAACTAATTTTCTGAAATCTAACTCCCAAATTGTGTAGAAGTTTTGGCCCTACTTGTATTTATCTCAAGAAGCTGCCCATAATTTTGCTATCCAACTTACCGGTTCAAACTACTTTTACATATCCTCTTACCATGTGTTCATTGTAAACGCTCTGAATCCTTCGCTATATTTACGTGTAGTAAGACATTGGAAGATACCTAATTTTCTGAAAACACGCCGGAAGAACTTATCGCCAACCAGTTTAAGAATATATGCGGTTACCCATGATTTGCGTTCAGAAATCTTGGTCCAATTTCGAAGGGTATGCGCGAGTATAAAGCAATCTCAAACGCACTGTAAGCAGGTCATTGAAATGTTTTGTCCAAAATTCAAGACTGAATGTAACCTGAAGCTAGTTAATATTTACCGAGTAAATAAGACATGGTTGAAAGTCTGAATGGAACACGACCCGTTGAGAATATTTTACGTGCACCCTGCAAAGATTACCACGACACTGATGTATTTCACGCACCTTTTATTTCGAATTTAACTTGGTCATCATCTCCAGCAACCACTCTTTTATAAATTACTTTTTTTCGAAAATGAAACAGCGTTCCATTGGGCTGCTGTTATGAAAACATTTGTTGTGCTATTTAAATTCCGGCACGCAGCCCCTCACTAAAGTGCGTTTTTAATATACTCGAGAGATTGTAGGTTAAGCTACGAAGTTCTTGAATAATTAGATTAACTGTATGCAATGCAAGATCTGGTGATAGTCCCATCATGTGAACCAAATGCACATGGACCCAGCAGAAACCTGTGACCGTCATGATTTGTCTGTTGTAGGAAACTTCATTCTAATATATAAGGCGAAACAACCCTTGTCTTACTGCAGCCCACTTAATGGAGCTTCAGTCCGCATGGTTTATGCTATGGTACATCAAGATAATCCTAACTGATTAAACCTGATCTGAAAGCCGCATAAAGTAACAAAGTCCAGATTAGTTCATATTTCCAATACGATTGCCCGCCCGAAGCATCCATGCAGCACTACGCAGATTTTGAATAAACAATGACTCAATGAACGCCTAAATTGCATCGGGCGAGGTATTTCCCATTTCAACTCTGTCATAATGCTCAAACACGACGTTTTGTGATAAACGAAAGTTACTTGGGTGTCAGTATCCTCCTATAAATTGCAATGCGTCGGTGGCTACAACAACAACAGACACATACAAATTAGTACATGAGGTTCTTACAGAGAAGACAGGACTGGTCGTCTCAAATGTAATCCAGATAAAGTTATATTTCTCAGTGTGATAGAAAGAGGTGTGAAAACGCTGGTTAATGGGCCGAATAATAGCAAAAGATAAGTACAACATTACATAGAAAAATATTACAACCATTAAGTGCCATTATCAAATATATGTCTTATTCAAATCAGAAATAATTTCATCAACTTTGTCCAGTAATGAGTTATTGCCTGTCCAGGTTTGCTTTTCAATTGCTTCAACCTCCTTTGAAAGTTCACTAGGGCCGGACACGATCATATTACTGCTGGCGCACAAATGAGCCTAAAAAGGTAAACGCTAACCGAATACAATAAACGGTCACTATGAAACCTCAAAGTGAAACACGCTACCCAAACTAACTTTAAGCTTAACAAAACAGTTAAAAGCGGTACCTAGCCAAGTAGCCGGTGCGAATTAATAAAGAAACATACACAAAGAGATTCGCCAAGATATGCAACGGCCTCATGTTTTGCTCGAGTTGGATTAATTTCGAGCATCTTTGAAATGGCGTTTGCTACCTCACCGTCTGTGGTGGGACGCTTTCCGCCTTCGTTCCATCTATTTGCACAAAATGTCAAGCGTGAGGTCAATGAAATTAAAGGTCTCCTCCATTTATTGCAGTAGGTTAGTCGGCTTTGTAAATTAATAAGAGCGTTTGAAAATGGTAAAAATTCCCCTAAAAATCGGGCTCGCAAGATTCAACCAATTTTTGATTGTTTTCTTGATGTAAATTAGTGGAACCAACAACGGAATAATGCAGCGTTTAACGAGTGTGAGCCAGAGAAATCGATCTAAGCACCTTTTACAGAGCACCCTCTAAACATTTAGGAAATGTTTCAATCGAGGATGCAAAATGCATATGTGTAGCCTAACAGTTGTGTTTATTAAATAGGTAGTGGCGCAATGAATTCGAGGTCATTACTCGAGACAAATAGTTTTTTATCAATATCTGGATAGTAAAACTCCTAAATTGCTCGTAAATCGACGAGAAGTCAAATGAGCCAAACTTATGTGGCGACAGATGAGGGTAATATATAAGCATTCAACTTTGAAGCATGTCTCAAATACCAAAACTGTGTGAAAGGGAAGGATACATTTGAATAACAACACATACAGAAACTCTGAAGCACAAGCTATAGTTTCGTGATGACTTACAAACTCAGCGGTTCTAACAGAAACGTCTTGTCTAATGCTTCCTACAGAATACTCAAAATGATAATACACAACAAACCATGTATTTGAAGAGTCCTAGATCTTTTTCCTCAATGTCAAGGAATTCATTCAATGTTGACAACCCACTGTTGTCGGTTGCTTTCCTTAACTCACTGTGATCTTTAACCAATCCTTCAAGTAAAAGTAACCGATTTCCAACCCACTTGTATAAGAGTCTGTCATCTTTCTTGCAGACTCCGTGCAATTTTTAGCGTCCTTACAGATCCTAAGACGACCAAACTAGACAGGAGCCAACTTTACTACCTTAAATACTCGTCACTTTTAAGAAAGGGCATTCCTCTTAAACTCGAGAGCAAAGCTTTGCCTGCCGACTGGATCTGCTATTGGAAAAATTAAACAACGGTCTGGAAATGTTTGAATTAAAAACGCATTATGTCTTATTTATTGGCAAAAACAATGTCGAATCCATATTATTCTTATTGATAATTTATTATTTGCCGAATTCAACTGCTATTCAATTGCATTGCTTGCGGGTTCAAATTAAATGCTACAATTCGTACCTAAGTTTTAATGTTGTTTTAAGTCCTACACTTTTGCGTATCTTGTCACATGTTAAACAGGACAACAAAAACTGATGACTCCTTCCACAAATCACTATGTTCGTCTTTCAGTTATCTCTATTCTGTGTAAACTTACCGTTATTTTGTTGGTTTTTGACAAAGTTTTATTGCATAAACGTATCTAGTTTACTTTCTTCACTAAAATTTAGCTAATTATTAAATTGTACATATGGTAATTTTTCAAAACACAAAAAGTTTTGTTTGAACTTATTAACTATTTTCTCTTGCTTGCCTTTATCCACCTATCCCTCGCAAATTATTGGGTGTATCTGACTTGTAGAAATATCTGCTCTTAAGTTTTATTTCTTACAGTTCTACTCTACTTTACGCAGCTTTTTAAATGGTCTAATGTGATGGATAATTCAATTTATTATTCCCTTAATGGCCTTTTTCCGTTGCGTATTCTATGACGATTGAGTAAACAAATCTTCGGTCCACAAAGTGATTAGATTCGTCAAAATCCAGGTTGTCAATCAAGATAAATAGGGCAATAGTCTTATCGTTGATGTCAAGATAGAATTAATTGATGAACCATATCCCAGGTCAGACATTGGCATATTAATTAAACTTCCAGCGTAGCCCTCATTTTAATTGGAAATCTTCCCGTTTTCCTTAATATGATTGACATTTGGTCCTCATCTAATTAAAAAGATAATCGTTGGAAATGGTTTGTAGGCCCGATGTGGTTTTCTAACCTCAATGGTGCAGACGACCTAAATGCATACTGCACGGCCAAGAAAAAAATGAAGACTATTGATAGGCCCGAGTTTCGCCGATATTTTCAGCAATAAGAAGCTTGTCCTTTTAATAACCAATGAATCTATAATTATGGGCCTGCATAACATTGCTCGCAATATGTACACTAAATTCCAGCTACTCAATTCAATTCACTTTCAAACATGCGATTTAAGAACGTTCACGAGTTTATTCTGTTTTACATATCTCCCACTGTGGCGTGGTTCAAGCATTGCGACGTCAACCGTTTGCTCTTACGTATTGAATATGCACATTAATCCATCAGGTTATCGATTATCCAATGTTCCATCGTGCAACCAGTCAAGCCTTATGGATGTCGTGGATGTGTCCAAGCTTCAGTCTGCGTAACATTCTTGAACGCATCACTTCGTTTAATTGGCATAATCTATTGCCGACAGTCATCGAAAAACATCTGAGTAATAAAGAAATTCTCTTTACTTGCTAATTTTTAAACTAAGCGCTGTGAATGCAGTGGTATTATGTAATGGTTGGCTGCATCTGACAAATGGATTATGTATTTTTCTCCTGCTACAAATACAATGGCCCCAATTTAAATTTGCAACATAACAGAGTTCTAGTGTGAATAAGACTGGTACAACATTGCAGGCTTATTAACTGATAACATGTCAGAACCATCAATCAGACATCGTCTATTTGATTTAACAATGTTAAGTGGAATACCTCAGGCACAAAAAATAACGTTTTATTGCCTAATCATAAGCCAGAACCACACACCACTGACCGTCAATCGAGTGTGCCACACCGTCAGAATTGTTCGTTTTATATTTCATATCATTCCTCTTTGTCGCCGGTTGGCTCTGCTGGTCTTCCTCACGTACTATCCAAAAACACAGAGACAGATGGTTGAGATTGCTCTACAATGTCCAATAGGTCTAAGCATTAGTACGTCGGTTTTTGGAATAATAGAGCCCAACTATGAAGAACAGGGGCACAGCAGAACAGGCTTTATTGACCAATCACGAGCCAGAGCCACAAGTCAGACGCCTTCCATTCGAGTCATCCACACTGGCCACGCCGCTCAATACATACAACTCCTTATCCGTGTCCTTCTCTGGTTGGCTGCTTATCTTCCTCGCATGCCACTGGAACTCAGAGAGACACAGGATTGGCTGAGGCCAGCATGGTCCAATATGTCTGCGCCCTATTCCATCGCCACTGTAAGTTTCCGACCCATGGTATGGTGAATAAGAGAGAGATAGGCAAAAAGGAGTACTTTAATAAAGGCCGAGACAACCACAATCAAGTCAGTCCGTACGGGGAAAACAGGGGCTTTATATATCATTGTCCTGTTCATCCTGTTCTCCCGTTGGTCCGTTGCGCGTCGCTACAATGGAGACGGAAAAGTCGTGAGCGGATTGGCTCTCAGCCCCCGGCGCGTCATTCAATGCCCGCACGCCACCACGCAGCCGGAAATCGCACCACCGGTCACGTGATGCCGCCTCCACGCCGTGCTCAACACCGTCACCAATACGGCCGCCGTCTGTCATTCCGCTACACTGCCCCCCCTAAGACCGAAGCTGCCCCAGCTTCTCGTCTACTACTACTGCTGCTATCTCAACCGTGTGGTCCACTGGGGGTGGTTCACAGTACCTTAGGGACTCATCATCAGTCTCCGCCATTGACGAAACATAGGGTTTTAGCTTGTTAAAATGAATAGTGAACCCTTGACCGGGACTATCGTCGAGACTGCGAATTAGACATGTCGTTTCACTGAGGACCGTGTCTACCACATAAGGTCCTTCCCACGAACTTTGAAACTTCCGACCTTCGCCCACTACGTTCGTGGTAGCCATCCACACGAGGTCACCTTCCTCGACAGGGGTACCGTGGGCCCGCTTATCATAGTAGTCTTTCTGTCTTTTATGAGCGAGAGCCAACTGTGACCTGGCCGAGTCAAAAGACCGAAGAAGTTGGCCACGTACTCTGAAGTACTGACGAACTCCTGCTCTCGAGGTGGGGGCGCCACAATATCGGCCGGTAGCCGCAACTCATGTCCGAATGTCATTACTGCTGGCGTT